TTGTGTTATTCATATTGCACAACGTGTATCCTTGGATATGCACAAAACAAATTTCTTAGATTTTCTTGATATTTCATATGTTTTTCAAAATGATCAAGTTTACGTTTTGGAACATTTTTATCCGGTTTCAGATTTAAAGAACTAGAGCGAGGTGAATTCCTTTGATTAATCCATTTAAATCTTTATCGATTTCTTCTTTTTCTTTCTTTTGTGTTCGTTGGGTTAAGAAATTCTAAATTTGATTGAAAGAGAAACATACAATTTGCTTTAGGCACCGAGGAGGATGATTAATGTTAGTTAGAGGAAAGAAAATTTTTTGTTAAATTTGTGCTTATTACTATAATCTCATTGGTGTAACTTGAAATTTTCAAGTAAATGAAATAACTTATTCTTGTGAAAAAAATGTACACCAAAATCACGTAGAGGAGGAAATACTCTTGAAAAGAATAAAGAGGGAAAGATGAAATAAAGGGAAAATCGAGTGGGCCTTTTTATTAGTTATTCTATATAATTGTATGAAATGTTTATTTAACAAGTTAAAAAATATCTATAATAATTAAAAAATTCATCAGATCCCTTGAAATATGTTATCATATAACATTGGAGAATAGATTCTTTGTTTTGAGATGTTCTAGTGAACCTGACAATGGTTAAAATTAAAACATAAACAAATGATCATTCCTTTGTTCCCTTTCCAGCACTGAACGCGCCCAGGCATTTTTTGTTTCTTTTGATTGTATTTTTCAAAACTAGACTAGTCTTTTGGGATTATGAAACGAAAATATTTTTCGGAGGAGAGAGTGTTTTCAAGCTTATTATCAGCTCATGACACCACATAGAACACTAAAAAAAATAAAACAATAAAAAGAAGACGACATATATAGGCAACAGAATTTTTTAGTTATGTTTGGATCGTTTCTTTCTGTGTATATTTTTGGTTTTATTTGTATTAGAAACATAAAAAATTATATGAAAATATAAAAAAATATATTGGAATGGAACATTTCTAGTGAAAAATGAACCAAACAGAGGCTGTCCACGTACACAAAATCTAATTGAAGCCGACCTGGTCGAAGAATGGATCATCAAAAGAAAGAAATGAATAAGCAGCCCAGATCTAGATGGTTCATATTCTACAGCAAATGCCAATTAATTCTTGATTGATATGATGTTGTTTGAAAGAGTTGGACCAACAAAATTAGAAACTAATGGCACAGTTGGTTCAGGTTGCATGTTTTGTCAATGTCTCTGAGTATTACGCTTGATAAATTACTGTTTTATTTATCGACTCACTGTGTAATCAAACATTACGCTTCCTCAAGCATATATTTAAAAGATGGCATCTCTGGATAAATGTTTAGAAATGCTGGAGGCTGGGATTCGTAAGTTGTACCATTCTTATGAGAAATTTCTAGAATCAAGCATGCAAGGATCAAGCGTGCAACTACAGTGCTATGTGTATGTAACATCAACAATTTAAGGTTATAGAATTGGATAAAGATAATACATTATCTAAGATCATGAATATAGATTCTCCATGAATAATAGTAAAACACAACTTCGCACTCAATGACTCAAACATGATTATGCCTTGCGAAGCACGACGAAAAGAAGGGTAAATAATCCAATTTAGTGTCTTAGTAGTTTCAATTTTTCTATTCCCCACGGTTGCAATGTCCATTATTCACCCCCATATTTTGAGATTATATTGAGACTATATGACATTTACCCTTTCAATTGGTGAGTTTTTAGGAGCTGCAAAATGATCTTGTGCTAAATTTTTTCTGAACATGAGTTTGAAAATATCATGCTAATGTATCTACGAGATGATATCTAAGATATTTTCTGTTGTTTTTACATGATGATATTTCAAACAAGATTATCGGGATAATAAATTTACATGTGAAAATTCTTGTTGAACTAAAATGAGCATATGACAGAATTCTAACATATTAGTTCCTTTAGAGCAGAGGTGAGGTTTGTTAGGACGTCAACTGGTAGACAGTCGTTGACACCTCCAAAAGAAATAAAAACCGACTTAAAACTATTAGCTAGCTGTAAGTAGGGTCGATCTACAGAGACGGCAATGAACCACTTAAAATCTGATTAATGTGCAAGCAACAGAAAATAAACTAAGTAGGTTGTCACTTGGGAGAGTGAGAATAGACACTAGACAGAGTAAGAAAGCAAAAGGGTCATCAGCTTTCTATCTATATGATCTAGTTTTGTTTCATTTCAGTTCTTGTTACACATTAATATTGTTTGATCAGGCATTTATATTCTTTACCTTCCCCTTCATTACCAGTAAAGAGTCCCAGATTAACCAAATTATCTACCTCTCAGTGATAATTATTTATTATTCCAAGTCATTAAGTTCTTAAGCTTCATTTATCACCTATGTCAATCAACTAACTCATTGATTATTGAAACCAAGGGGTTGTAGTCAAAGATGTCTACTTTGTGATTGACTAATTTAAACCTTTTGAAAACAATGTTCACTCTCTCAGGATTCCATAATTATGCATGCACTAATAGCTAAGAGGCCAAGTTAACTAGAATGTTAATTCAAACACTTAAACTAGGAACAATACTTCATGTAAGAAACTGAATCAAAACCTTCATATATAGATAGTAAGGATTAGACCCTTAACTGAGTTTAGCTACTTAAGTTTATTGAACTAAACATGAGAGCAACTGAGTACAAAAGATTAAACATAATAAGTACCAAAAGCGTTAGAGGATAAAAGAGTAGTAGCAGAGCAAATTCTGTCTGCTCACTTGGGGAAGTGTACTTCGTCACTTGCCCGAGTGACAGTCTGCACTCTAACTGCAAACTACTCTGTTCCTATCCAACTAACTAACTAACTACTTTGTTTTTTATCTGATTCTAACTTCCGTAATTTCTTGTTTTCTAACTGCTATTGGCTGATTATTTATAGAGATTTGGGGAGGCTTGGATTGGTTGAGAACTTGGCCTTCTTCTCTGCAACAGACAATGGCTGAGGCAACTTGCAGCAGCTGAAATTGTTAATTCAACAACTTGGCCAATGCCTTCTCTTTGGTTGTTCCTTTTCTTCAGCCGTCACTAGCCACCTTTCCTCTCATCATTGCTCTTCCTTCTTGGAGAAGAGTTAGGACAAAACCAAGGGCCTTCGGAACCAAATGAGCAAGTCATTGGGGACGATGACTTCTCTAGTTTGATCACAAAATTGCCCGATCATCTTCACTTCATGATGGACAACCAAGATATAGCCGGGTTTGATATTAATGCGCAACAAACATGATTTCATATAAAAAACAAAAGATAGATGATTTAGGGGATGATGTTTTTTCTTTTCTCGAAAACTCACACACACGCGCGCACACACAAACACACGCACACGCACACGCACACACAAGTTCTTTTGAATTGTACCATGTTCCTTTCTTTCCTATTTCACCTGAATAAAATGTACAGCTCTTTTTTATTTACAAAGTTACTTTCATTTGGTGCGTGGACCTGTACATTATCAAAATTTTTAGAAATTCAGATTAGCAGGTATCATAAAAATTAAAGATAACACGGTCTATAATTCAATACTTATTAAGATCTATGACTAAAATGAGAAATGAAGTTAAAGAGGTCCGTCACTCTTATCATTACTCATTAAAGTTTAAAAAGATTAATAAGTTACATATATATGTAATCTGAATACCATATTGAATGCCACTTTGTTCGAACTAACACAAAACAATTGTTTACGTGCAGGCCGCCCAGGCAAGGCGCGAACTGAGATCGCCCGAACTGCTAGTTCTCCGCATAAATGGCCAAACTCATCTGCGTCATTTGTAACATTTCTGGTATCATTACTCATTAAAGTTTAAAAAGTAGTTACATATATAACACAAGTAATTCGGATACCATATTAAATGCCTCTTTGTTTGAACTAACACAAAACCAAATAATGATAGTGCTAACGGGAAACACCCATTGGCCATTACCTCCTTAAATTCATTTGGATTCATATAATTTTTTGTTCAAGAACACTTTTCTTTGTTGCAAAATTTACTAAACACCTGTCCAAAATCAAGATGGGATCACTGCTTCCATTAGCATCATCTTGCTTTTTTTCTTTTTGTAGATTTTCACCAATGCTTCTACCGGCCAAACTCTGAGTTAATCGTCTCCAAAAATTTACGTCCAAATATACCACTGCTCATATTCTTCTTTAGCAACTAAGCTAAAATCTTAGAAAGATCTTCATGCAACTCCACTCATTTCAAACAGATTCAAAATTTTACCAACCATGTCTAACTATCATTCATCATCAAAGCATTTGTTCTTCACCAAGAATCGGAAGGCCTTGGAATAATTCCGAGGAGAATATTTCTCAAGATCGGGTTATTCGACAAGAACGATCATGGTTGCTACTCAGAACTTAAACTAGCCCATCGGAGGGTTTTAATATAAACCTGGAATTCCGTCGACAATGACACATCAACAAGGTCAGGAAATGTCAAGTCCAGCTCTACCACTTCTACCACCATCATCATAAGGAAGTTGGTTAGTCTCATAAAACTGTTTAGTCCCTTCACCAGTGTGCTAGATGTTATATATGTACTATTGTTTCCCAGGATACAATGGAAACTGTAAATACTACTTAGCACAAATCAACTTCACCTTCAAGCTGGAACTGGAAAAATATGATAAACACCAAAGGAAAGGAAGGCTAAAATTTTTTGGCTAAGAACTAGACGTGAGGATATTACCTTTTTGCTGTAGAATTCTGTAAATTAGGCTATCTCTCATAGGAGATGAGAGATCCCCAAAAGCCATTTCAAGTTGTGGGCATTCAATTCAATTAAATTTGACAATCATGGCTAAAAATTTATATAACTTTTTTTCCTTTTAATATAAATAATTGAAGCACATTCATTCACATACTTCATAACAATATAATAAAGTTTGGAATTGAATGTTCAACACACAACCTCATTGTGAAGAGAGAAAGATTTAAACAATGACAGAACGTTGGGTTGATCAGGTGCACATCTTCGGTCCGTTATTCGCGCAAAACACACAAATCAAGATTCATCTTTCTAGTCTCATGAGAAACAAATTTCTCATTCACTCTTATAATTCGAGCCTTATGTCCAACGTTTGAAACTACACGAATACTTCAACAGCACTATAATGGAAAATTAGTTTTGTAAGACAGTTAAAAGTAGATAGTTAAAATGAAAAATAGTGTAAACTTAAACAAAAATAAATCTCAAATTATATATAGAGAGCCAAAAACAATTGACCAAATGTAATTACAACTTTTTAGTTTCAGTCTAATCGGCAGGCTGATGATAAATTTTGATATGCATGCAATATACAACCCAAAATATTTGGATTGACATATAAACATTTCATGTCATGAATTGCCCAAACGAACAAAAATGGTTGCCTTTCAAATATTCTATAAACGTCAATTATATGTGTATATACTTGATGTCCATGCATATCCATAGATTTTTAAAACCCATCCATTTAAAACTCATTTGACTTATGAATATGGATGGGGTTTATGTCCATTTATACCTAACCCATAAAATTCCGTAAATGAACAGCTTAAACTCGCCCTTTTGTCGCCCTAAATAAAAAAGCGGAATAATTTCGATGGAGGAAATACGTAATAACGCACTTGATCTTCGTATTTCGACCTATATTTATTTATCTTTTCCATGCATCCTTGTTTTTTTTTTTCTTTTTAAACAGGTACAATTGGCCATTTGGGAAGTAGCTCGTTTCCTGCAAGTAGAAAACGTTTATGAGTCCCAAACATTCCCTTCATTGGGAACCCTTAACCCTGTCTCCGAACAAAAAGACGAAACTACTATTTCAGGTTCTCAAGAAGCGGACACATTGCAGGTGGTGATCAACCCTCAAACTCCTCAACAAGTGGATTGTAGTAACAATTCAATCTTAGGAAGCTCCCAGACAACTCCCTTTCCTTCCCATGAAATTAATCCCTCGGTACATGGTCACGGTTCCGATGAAAGCGATAACAATGGTGCTGAAAAAGAGATGGAAGAAACAAAAGGCGCGGGCAATGATGCGGGAGCAGCAGCGCTAGAGAAAGAGGGAACCGATCAGCTGGATGTCGAGGAGGAATGTGTTTTTGTAGGTCTGATTCCATATTTGGAAAATGATGACTTTGAAGATTTGATTAAATGGTGCGACGAGCAGTTCTTTTCGTATCCTGACCCTACGGTTTTGATACTATGTGATTAGAATTGCTTGGGTAGTTTCAACTTGTAGTTCTAATTGGGGCTTGAAATTCTAATGTTGTTGTGAATCTTGGTCCTTTCAATGAACTTGTTTAATTTGTTTCTTTTTTTAAAAAAAAATTGTAACTTGTAAAGATTTAATTATGGACCTTTCTATTTTCTGAAAAAATAAATTTGTTTAATTTTTGTACAAGGGAAATTGTGTTATTCATATTGCACAATGTGTACCCATGGATATGCCTAAAACAAATTTCATAGAATTCTTGATATTTCATATGTTTTTCAAACTGATCAAGTTTACGTTTTGGAACATTTTTATCCGGTTTCAGATTTGAAGAACTAGAGCTAGGCGAATTCCTTTGATTAATCCATTTACATATTTATCGATTTCTTCTTTTTCTTTCTTTTGTGTTCGTTGGGTTAAGAAATTTGATTGAAAGAGAAACATACAATTTGCTTTAATCACCAAGGAGGACGATTAATGTCTGTTAGAGGAAAGAAAAATTTTTGTTAAATTTGTGCTTATTACTATAATCTCATTGGTGTAACTTGAAATTTTCAAGTAAATGAAATAACTTATTCTTGTGAAAAAAAATGTACACCAAAATCACGTAGAGGAAATACTCTTGAAAAGAATAAAGAGGGAAAGATGAAATAAAGGGAAAATCGAGTGGGGCTTTTTATTAGTTACTCTATATAATTGTATGAAATGTTTATTTAACAAGTTAAAAAATATCTGTAATAATTAAAAAATTCATCAGATCCCTTGAATTATGTTATCATATAACATTGGAGAATAGATTCTTTGTTTTGAGATGTTTTAGTGAACCTGACAATGGTGAAAATTAAAACGTAACCAAATGATCATTCCTTCATTCCCTTTCCACGCACTGAACGCACCTAGACATTTTTGGTTTCTTTTGATTGTATTTTTCAAAACTAGTCTAGTCTTTTGGGATTATGTTTTTTAGAGGAGAGAGTGTTTTCAAGCTTATTATCAGCTCATGACACTACATAGAACACTAAAAAAAATAAAACAATAAAAAGAAGACGACATATATAGGTAATAGAATTTTTTAGTTATGTTTGTATCGTTTCTTAGTGTGTGTATTTTTTGTATTAGAAACATAAAAAATTTCATGAAAAATAGTCAAACTGGGGTTTACCCATGGCTTTCGTGAAAATATCCGTCAGTTGAACATGGGTAGACACATAACTCGGAAGAATGGTACCCTTCAAGACTTTATCGTGCACAAAATGGCAGTCAACCTCAATGTGTTTCGTGCGTTCATGAAAGACCGGGTTTGCTGCAATATGTAAAGCAGTCTGACTATCACAGTAAAGCCAAATAGGGTGAGAATGTGCAACACCAAGAAAATGCAATAAACCCTTCGACCATTTCAGATCAGAAACAGTAGCAGCCATAGAATGATACTCAGCCTCAGAAGACGAGTGAGCAATCGTCTGTTGTTTCTTCATCTTCCAGGAGATGGGGGACTGACCTAACTGAACAAACCAGCCAGTAAGAGAACGGTGAGTCGACGGACAACTAGCCCAGTCAGAATCGCACCAGCCAGATAATGTAAGGGCCAAATCTGTCCGGAGAAGAATGCTCTGGCCTGGATTGCCCTTCAGAAACTGCACAACTCGAAAAACAGCATCCAAATGAGCCTACATAGGTTTCTGCATGAACTAAGTAAGAATATGAACACAATAAGATAATTCAGGATGAGTGACAGCCAGATAATCAATCGACCCACTAAACGCCAATAACGTTCAGGATCAGGAAGAGGAGCCTCAACAACCAAAGATAGCTGGTGATTCTGTTCCAGCGGGAAACCAACAAGCTTAGATCCCAATAAGCCAACCTCAGAAATAATATCTAAGGCGTATTTGCCCTGACAAAGAAAAATGCCAGTAGAGTTGCGAGCGACTTCAATACCCAAGAAGTATTTGAGAACACCCAGATCCCTCACGTGAAAACATCGGCTTAAATAATCCTTAAAGGACTGAATGGTAGAACTAGCATTGCTGGAAATAATAATATCATCAACATATACCAAAACTGTCAATTGAGTGGTGCCACGACACAAAACAAACAGAGAGTAATCAGAAGCAAACTGCAGAAAACTATATCGTTAGGCACTAGCTAATTTGGCTAACCAACAACGAGGAGCTTGTTGAAGATCATAAAGAGATTGACGAAGGCGACAAATAGAACCCGGTGTTGGAGCATGAAATCCAGAAGGAAGCTTGATATAAACCTCCTCATCTAAATCACCATGGAGGAAAGCATTATGAACATCCATCTGATGAAACTCCCAACCTTTAGAAGCAGCTACAGTGAGCAATGTACGAACAGTCACCATTTTAGCAACTGGAGCAAAGTTCTGTGGAACTTTATTGGTAATGGACCATGTGTCATTCTTTTCCAAAGCCTGGATCTCTTGGCACATAGCCATTTGCCAGCGAACATCGCGAAGAGCCTGAGCAAAAGTGTGAGGCTCAACTCCTACAGTGACACTAGCCAAAAATGCACGATGTTGTGGAGAAAAAGAATCACATGTAACATAATTGTGTATAGGATAGGACGCACCTGAGGAAACTGAAGCAACGGAAGTGGCAGGAGAGGGGCTTAAAACAATGTGTGCCATAAAATCTCACAAGCGAACTGAACGCTGTTTGAGATGATGCCCACGGCCCAGTAGTTCTTCCTGTTGTGTAGTGGAAGGACCCCTCCTGTCTAACGAGGCAGGTACAGAAGAATCAGGTGCGACAGTATCCGTTGTGATGACAGGAATGGACGGAGAAACCGGTACAGAAGCAGACTCCATAACAAAATCAGGAGAATCATCATCCAAAAATACAGGTGAAGACTCAATCAAAAGAGATGAAGAATCACAGCAGAATCATAAGACACAGAAGGAAACTTCGATTCAAAGAAAACAACATCCTGAGAAACAAAAAATTCACCAGTTTGTAAGTCATAAACGCCAACCTTTTTGGCCATTCGGATATCCCACAAACACGCATCTCCTACTACGACTAGGAAACTTATCACCACTATGATTCTGTTTATGCACATAACAAAGACAACCAAATACTCGTAAATGAGCCAAGGAAGGAGGCTTGTCATACAAAAGTTCACATGGTGTTTTTCCATTTAAGACACTCGAAGGAATGCGATTAATCAAATAAGCAGTAGCCAACACACATTCGGCCCAAAATTCAATGGGCAATTGAGCTTGAAAACGTAATGCACGCGCCACATTCAAAATATGTCTATGTTTACGCTCCGCATGGCCATTTTGCTGGGGGTCCCCACACAAGAAGTCTCATGCAAAATGCCATGCTGAAGAAAATAATCAGTCAAACATATAAATTCGGTACCGTTATCAGTACGAACATGTTTAACCGATTTTCCATATTGGCGTAACCATAGCAAAAAACTGACGAAGCTTCAAAGAAACCTCCTCTTTTTCATGCAACAAATAAATCTATGTGGTGAAAAATCATCAACAATTGTCAAAAAATACCGAGCACCCGAAAATGAAGGGATCCGATATGGACCCCACAAGTCACAATGAATTAACTGAAAAATCTCAACAGTCTTAATCAAACTAACAGGAAAAAAAGTTCGAGGCTGCTTGGCTCGAAAACACACATCATAGGCCTTATTATGAAAATGACTAATATCCTTGGAAGAACCTACACTAGGAAGCAACGCCAAAACCTTAGAGGAGGGATGGCCAAGACGTTGATGCCATAACTCGAGTGAAGGAACCCCAGGTGTTGTAGCAGTCGCGAGACTCTCCACATCCCAAAAAAAATAAAGCCCCTCTCGTTGCTCATCCGCTCCAATCACTATCCTCGAAGTGAGGTCCTGTACAACACAAAAATGAGAGGTGAAATGAGCAACAGAGCCAGTATCTTTCAACAGTTGAGAAACCAAGATGAGATGACATTTCAGACTCGGAACAAACAATATATTCTGCAAAGTGACTTTAGTACTAAGAACCACAGTGCCGGCTTTGGTAGCCCAAGTATGATGACCATTCGGTAATTGCACAGAAATACCGCGAATATCATAGTTAGTCGCAAAATAATCAATAGAACTTGTCATGTGACGTGAGGCACCCGAATCATACATCCAATTATCACAAATACGCTTATCAGACAAAGACGAACCCGACTGAGACTTAACCGAGTTCAATAGAAAGAGAAGCGTATTCTGCTGGTCGGCGTTAAGTCCGGTCACAGCAGCACCAGCGCCATCACCGCCGGAAGAAGAAGGCAGCAACACATTGTGGCAGTCGCGGAAGGCTGAACCAGAGAGCTGGAAACCGTACCAATCTGAGGAGAGTTGCCGCGGCCAGCATCCGCATTACCTCGGCCATGGCCGCGTTCACCGCCACGACCACGAGGAGACCAGTCTGGAGAAAGCCGATCAACCTATAACAAGTGCTAACGTCGTGATTAGGCCGATTACAATTTGTGCAAAATAAAGGGTTGTCACCACTGGAACCAGCAGACCCCATGAAAGCACCACGACCCTGAGATTTGGAGCCAGCGACTGCTGCCATGGCCACCACGTCGCCTGCAGAAGCTTGCGAACCCGGCGTAGAAATAGCAAAAGCCATGGTTTCTGGCGAAGCCTCCTTGGCCTGAGTCATGGAATGCAAGCGTTCCTCGCGGATAATGGTGGAGTAAGCTTTGCCTAGGCGTGAGAGGGGATCTTGAGCAAGTATCTGTGACCGGGTTGCAGAATAAAGACTGTCGTCGAGCCCGAGCAAAAACTGGTGGAGCTTTTCTTCTTCCACCTTCTTCTCAGCCACCGCCGAGAGATTACAGGAGCAACCGCTGCAGGAGCACACCGGGAATGAGTCGTAAGAAGCCAACTCCTCCCAGATCATCTTGAGCTGGCCATAGTAAGCCATAAAGCTCAGCCTTTCTGCCGACAATTAGCCAAATCGGACTTAAGCTGTTGAATCTGCGGCCCGTTAACAATTGAAAGCCGTTCTTGGATGTCAAGCCAAAGGTCACGAACGATCTCAGTGTGTGAAATCGTCGAGCGACGGGAAGGCTCGATTGTATTCAAAATCCAAGAGACCAAGAGGGAATTAATCGGCCCCCAATCTTCGGCATCTAGCGAGGATTCCGGCAGCTGAGTGATTGATCCATCGACAAAACCAAATTTCTTGCCCGCACGAAGGGAGGTGGTGATGGCTTTGGACCATTCGGCATAATTGCTTTCACCACGAAGCTGAACGGTGTTGAGAATATTGATATTGAGCCCAAGTTCCTTGTCTCACATTGATAGATGGAGACTCTTGAAACCAATATATAACCATATGTGCTACTCCCCTTATCACCAATTGATTTTAAAGTGGAACCACATGTGGCCCTGTATTTAGGCTTTCAAGATGGTATCAGAGTGGGTTTTATCCGCAGACCTGTGTGACTTGTGGGACGGGCTTTGATTGACCCGGCAGTTATATCCGGGGTCCTATTTACTTACCCGTTTGGGCCTTCTACTTCTACTTACCCAAATCTAGGCCTTCCATTTCTAATTCTTCTACTTACTTAGTTATATCTGGACCTTTACTGATCCGACAGTTTATCCGGTTTGTCCAACCCCTTTGGACTTGAGAGGGGGGTGTTGAGAATATTGATATTGAGTGCAAGTTCTTTGTCCCACATTGATAGATGGAGACTCTTGAAACCAATATATAACCACATATGCTACTCCCCTTATCACCAATTGGTTTTAAGGTGGACCCATATGTGGGCTTATATTTAGGCTTTTAAGAGATTCTTTTGGCAGCCTTTTCATTCATTGCCATCAACAATTCATGCTCAGCAATCCTCAAAGGATAAAAGAAAAACAACTTTCACGTACCAGTCTGAGATTTTTGGTGGTTGGGTTGACCTAAGAAGTGTGCTCTAAAAGCTGCAGCAGCTACGACAACCACAACAATTACGATAATGGCAGCAAAAAATTGGAGAGACTAGACATCTTGTGCTTTCTTGAGCATGCATTGGGCAATCCATGGCCACAGAGATCAGGATTACCTTGTAGAAATGAAGCAGGCGGGCCAGAAATCAATGAAACAGGAACTCTACCAGAGAGTCTATTGAAACTTACATTGAAAAGCGCAAGCTTCAAGTTTTGAAGGTTCTCTGGTATTGAACCAGTGAGATTATTCTCAGAAAGATCCAGATAAGTTAGTACAGGCAAATCAGCTAATGAACTAGGGATTTCGCCAACGAAATTGTTATCAGCCAGAGCCAACGATACTAACTTCTTACAATTTCTAATTTCAGGAATACTTCCCGAAAGATGGTTATGGGAGAAATTAATGATTAGCAATATTTTAGGCAAAGACCATAACCTCGAGCGGGACAAAGAAACTCAAAACTTGTTCAAGTACTTGGCCTGATCGAAAAATGAGTGAATTCATGCTTCTGTTTTTTATTAGCTATTTTCAATTTCGTCTACTTTTTCCACCTGAAAGCACTAGGATAGCATCGGATCCTGCCTGCCAGTAAAGTTACTTCTTGTTCTAGCTTAAATTACATATATAACACATAATAGCTTTATGTTCATTGTTGTATTTATTTCTTTATTCTTTTCGTCAACCTCTAGGGGGTTCATAATAAAAAAAATTAAAGTAATCAAAAAGTAACCAATACTAAGTATGTTAAAGTGACATCGCAAGAATTTATGTGTAGCCCCAATAATATTAGTACCCAAAAAAAAAAAAAAAAATCCTAAGTCCCCATAGTAGGGAATTCAATCTAACAAGTCCAATTGGATTCGATCCGGCCGCCAGGCTAGCACAAGGTCAACGTGGTTGACACCATCAGCGTTTAAGACATTCTTTGGTTGGAGTTTTGGGGGGTAAAAAGGTGGTACATGATCAATCCATCCTTGACAATAAAGAGAGTTCAAGAAAATTTCTTAAGTTTGCATGTGCATGAGGAACCATTAAGATTGTCATCCTAAAGAACAATGAATATTCGAAATTATTTAGTTAGTTGTTAATAGGATTCTCTTTTTGGTACTCATGCATTCAGATGAGTAAAGAGAGTATACGTGTTTCAACTAGTGTATTTTCAGAAAAACTGACAACAAATTAAAAGTTTAAAACGTTATTCATTTAATCCATAATCCGGAAAAAAAAGAAAAAAAATTACACAAAGGCTCAAATATCTAATTAAGGAGTTTATATCAAGCTTTTAAGATATATCCAACGAAATAATGTTATCTTTCGAAATGATCTACCAACATAATAGTCTAAGTTATTCATAAGATTAATTTTTCGTTTGAAGACTAGACTCTAACCAAACGGTTGGGAATTCATCAAAGTTCTTTCGTACTAATTTAGGCCCAGAAGTTGTTAACTTGAATGTGGTATGCGCATTTGACAGCATTGTAGTGAACTTGATTTCCTTTGTCAAAATAATATCATTTCCTACTATATTTGAACAACTCTGTATACGTGCAACATTATTGGTTAGATACCACACTACTGGATGTTTCAACATTCAAACTAGAGATAATTTGGTAATAACTGGGAATTGAATTAAGTGACCAAGTTAAAAGGGCCATTGGTCTCATTTGCTAACCTTCTCCTATCATATCCTCTCGTTAAAGTATAAAAAGATTCATCCGTTAGAATAATGATGGTTTAACTTTGACCATTCAATATCACTAATCAGTTTCAATGATATGAACTAAACCAGAAGTAAATAGCAATCTGGCAAAGTGGTAGACCGAATTGACCATTATAGTTCCTTAAATACATCTGGCTTTCTATGTTTTTCAATTACTCAAGCACTTTATTAAACTCTCACACAATCACACAGTAAAAAAGAAGTTCGAGCAAGTCTTCTTTTTTCCTCAATTTACTTTTGAGTCATCAACTTAACACAAATAATCCAACAACAGACACATGGGATCATCACCACCTCCACCTTTATCTGGTCCTGCATTACAAGCAGAGCTTGATCGTTCCTTTCGTCAGATTGTCGCCGATGCTTGTGAATCTCACCCGCATATGGCTCACTTTCTCACAAATTTTCATTTCAAAGATGGGAATAGAAGATCCTCCCAGATCGACCAGTTCCTTAGCTCTTCACCATTTTCCTCTTCTCAACCAAATCAGCTGGAATCCAAAAATGTTTTATCAGCCAACCCAAATAATCCTTCAGTTTCAATGCATGCCAACTCCACTCGTTCATCAATACCATACATTGGCAACTCTCAGAACCCTCCCAGACAGAACAATGAAAATCCAGCCACACAACCAAACATTTTACCCCTGGGAAATCCAAGGCCTGATGACCAGAACCCGATTCGCAATCAATCAGCTATACCACCCATACCCATAGAAACCATACACAGAATTATCAATTCACTACCAACAAACAGATCCATTGGTTCATCGTCCAGTGGAGAAGGAAGCAGTTATGATAGAGTTATCCGACGAGCAAGATCGAGAGCACCTTGGAAGAGTATGTACGAGCACATTGACCTTGGAAGAGTATGTACCACCCTAGCTGGTGGTAGTTCGTCGAGAAATCAACCCGAACCGAATCAATATTGTAGATGCATCGAGAAAACAGTGATGGAAGGCCCGGGTATGCCTTCCATGAGGACTTGCCTGGTTCATGAACCTTCCGACGAGCTATTGGATTTGTCTATGTTAACTCCTCATGTACCACCGCCACCACCAGTTGTACATCGGTAAATCATTTAATCCTGCGTTTTTTTTTTCCTTTTCTTTTTCATCTTAGTTTGTGCAATTTTCAATTTTATGTGATTTATTTCGTTTCTCATATGGATTTCTTTATTGTTCCAGTAATGATTTAATGGCGGGTTCACTTCCTAGTCATCACAATGTTGGAGGTTTGGTTCCTGCTCCACTGAACTCAACCATCCAGTACGGACTTAATTTCCAAAGGTTCATATATTTATATATTGCAATTTTTGTTTTTATACGTGATCTAGACTTGTATGCATGTAATTAATGAACAAAATGGACAAAAAAATGAACAAAATTTTAACAATTTTACTATTTTCCTTTGAATAATTGATGGTTATTATTTTGCTAATATTTCAAAAATGAACTCGGGATCACCACTTCCTTTTTTGCATCTTTAGTATCAAACCTTACCTTCGTTCGTCAGTCCCACCGATGCTTTCTAAGTAATAAAAACCATAATCTGAGTCAGTCATCTCCAAGAATTTGCATTCAAATAGCCGACTCCTTGTGCTTATTTGCATCTTCTTTTCCAATTTAGTTTGTGCAATTTTCGATTTAATGTGATTTACTTTGGTTTTGATATGGATATTTTTATTGTTCCAGTGATGATGTAATTAGTAGGATGGCGGGTTCGGTTCATGGTCATCAGAATGTTGGAGGATTGGTTTCTGCTCCGTTGAACTCTAACATCCAACAAGGACTTGATTCCCAAGGGTTTACTACTATATCTTTATCATTGCAATTTTTCTTTCTTTAATTAGTTAACAAAACTTTAAGAATATTACAATTTTGCTATGAATAGATGAGTAATTGATGGTAGTTGTTTTGCTAAATATTTCAACAATTTGTCACCTTTCAATTCAGGATTTACAGCGGTAATATATCAGGCGACAACTACCCGGCCCTCCACAGTGACCAAACAAGGTTAATTCATTTTCTCAAACCACGAAGTGAAAGATTTGATTATAAACTTTTACACAAAAAAAAAAAAAGTAATGGGGGAAATTGGTCTCTCTCTCCTTTTTACTCCCTCAGTCCGAAATTATTATCCACTTTGATATTTCATTTTTAGTACAGTTTGAAGTAGAAATGAAAATCCAAACTAGACAATAATTATGAGAGGGAAGGAGTATTATTTAACAATGCCGCTTATTTTTCTTCACTTAATCTTATGAAAGGAAATATGTTGTGAATAGGTACCAGAGAGACACTATAACCTCAATATTCGACTTGGAATGGAATACCGTCCCCCAACAGCCTACATCATTTTCTACTTTTCCAATTCCGGAAACGGTACCAAATCCAGAGATTGAAACGAGGAATTGGCAGCATTTTAATCTGGAATCACATAGCGAAGGCACAGGTATCCTACTTACTAAACTTTGACGTCCTTTCCCGTTTGTTTTCTCGTTAACATTAATACTTCCATTGAATGCATATGTTACTAAGAAATGAAAGTAGAGGCTGATTAACTTATTGCATAAGATATTTTTACAAATATTAATACAAACTAGACAATAATTTCGAGATAGAGGGACTGTATAATCATACCTTAATTGTATAGCCTCTTAACTAACTTTGTATGTCAATCATTAATTGTACCATTGATGAAAACAATATCTCGTAGAATATTACGTAAGTTTATAATGTGGTGTCATATGTTCCTATAAAGCCCTATTTTCCCTCGGCACATAAGGTATTGATAGAGTCGGTCCTATAAAGCTCTCAAAATGACTCTTTCATGTGAATCTCTTATACATATTTTACATGATTAGATTGATATTCATTAGTCCTTCGAGTAAACTAAATATCAATTTTGAAAGTAATCTAAATAGCATCTTACAAATTGTTTTATATAGGTAATGCTAGCAATTTGGGAAGCAGCTCATTCATGCAGGAACAAAGCATTTGGAGCATTAACACAATACAGATGGATTCTTACAACAACGCTCTGGAAACCTCTGCATCTATGATCCCCTCTTCATCTTCTGATGGTGGGCCCACAATTTACCAAAATACAACAACATCAGAAAGAAACAATACTAATGGCGTTGATGATGAGAACAAGCTTGGAGAAGAGTTAGGACAAAACCAATGGCCTCCAGAACCAAATGAGCAAGTCATTGGAGACGATGACTTCTCAGATTTGATCACAAACTGGCCCGATCATCTTCAGTTCATGATGGACAACCGAGATATACTCGGATTTGATATTGATGCGCAACAAACATGATTTCATATAAACAACAAAAATAGGTGATTTAGGAGATGATGTTTTTTCTTTTTTCTAAAACTCACACACACACGCACACACACAAACACACGCACACGCGCGCGCACACACATACACACACACACACACATACGCACACGCGCACACACACACACAAGTTATGATTTGCACCATGTTACTTTCTTTCCTATTTCACCTGAATAAATGTACGGCTCTTTTTTATTTACTAAGTCATTTTTATTTGGTGTTTGGACCTGTACTTTAGCTACCAAAATTTTTAGAAATTCAGATCAGCAGGTATTATAAAAATTAGAGATAGAACGATCTATAATTCAATTCTTATTAAGATCTATGATGAACTAAAATGATAAATGAAATTGAAGAAGTCGTCCACATCATTTGTAACGTTTTTGGTATCATTACTCATTAAATTTTAAAAAGTTGTTACATACTCCCTCCATTTCAAAATATAAGTCTTTGTTGCCAACTTCACTAAACTCATGTCCAAAATCAAGATGGGATCACTGCTTCCATTAGCATCATCTTGCTTTTTCTTCTTTTGTAGATTTTCACCAATGCTTCTACCGCCAAACTCTGAGTTAGTCGTCTCCAAAAATCTACATCCAAATAGACCACAACTCATATTCTTCTTTAGCAACTTAGCTGAAATCTTAGAAAGATCTTCCTGTAACTCCACTCATTTCAAACAGATTCAAAATTTTACCAACCACGTCTAACTACCATTCATCATCAATGCATTTGTTATTCACCAAGAATCGGAAGGTCTTGGAATAATTCAAAGGAGAATATCTCTCAGCATCGAGTTATCTGGAAAGAACGATCCTAGTTGCTGATCAGAACTTAAACTAGCCTATCGGAGGATTTCAATATGGACCTGAAATTCCGTCGACAATGACACATCAACAAGATCAGGAAATGTCAATTCCAGCTCTGCCACTTCTATTAGGGTATCGAAGTAGTGATATTTTACTACTACACTACCCTCCCAAGATCAAATAGGCAAAAGATAATAACCACAATGATAGCAAGAAAGGCAAACAATATTTCTCTCAAACAAACACAAATAGCTTATATCAAATATGAAGGCAAACTACGAAATAAAAGAGCTATGGAGGAGACAACTTACTTGGAAGTGGTACCCTTTTAGTTTTGGGACACCAAACAACTTACAACCATGTCCTATTTATAGAAGTTCTAAGTTGGCTAACTGTAATAAAATATTACAAAAGAAATGTATATGACGGTGGAAAAAGTAAAGTTCAATTTGGCCTTTGTTCTTCTAGAGTATACTAGTTTGGTAGAGACATTATGCCAACTCAATCATCCATGCATGCAAGTTGCATTAAGGAGGTGGAATTTGGTTAACGGATGGTCCTTGACTTCCCCGAGCTTCTAGATTGATCAAGTTTACTCTTCAACACTTATCTATAGTACTTAATTAAAGCAGCAAACAAAAAGGACATGTGTCATCACCACAATGAAAATTTTCCCGCCAAAAGTCATTTTCAGTACAAAATCATTTTTGACATGTGGCACTCTAACTAATCAGAAAAAAAGGATGAAATAAAATAAATAAATAAATTCCTTAATTATAGCTACGTAAAAATTCATTAATTATAGGTATATAGTAATCTCTTAAAACAATAATATTGAGCTGATAAAATCAAATGTTAGAAAATGTCCTTAAATCAAGTGAAACAACACTGCCACCCAATCTCAAATGATCTTTTCCATTCCCCTCCTCTCTCAAACCCGGGCCTTCAAATCAATTACTTAAAATCTGACATCAATTATATTCATCTCTTTCTACAACAGAGGAAAAAGAAGCGGTCATGAAAGAAAATTTGATTTTTTAAGGATGATTTGTTTTTTTTATTCTTCTTTTGTAGATATTGATTTATGAGTTATGTAAATCCGGGTATAAGGTAACTATTGTAAACCCCGGGATAGGTTCATGTGTAATAACTCAGTTCCTGTCCTTTTAATCGATTTTGTATTTTTCTGTTTTTTATTCTTTTAAAAATAATTTGTTTTTTTATTTAATCGATTTAAAAGTAAAGGCGGCATCTAGTGCAAGTTGTATTGAGATGGCGGAATTTGGTCAACAATTGCGGCTGCTACTTGCTTCCCAAGTATTCTAGATTAATTAAGTTCTTTCTTCAACAACTTCTACTACCATCATCATAATGAAGTTGGTTAGTCTCATAAAAATGTTTAGTCCCTTCACAGGTGTGCTAAAGGTTACATATGGACTATTGTGTCCCAGGATACAATGGAAACTGTAAATACTACTTAGCACGAATCAACGTCACCTTCAAGATGGAACTGAGAAAATATGATAAACACCAAAGGACAGGAAGGCTAAAATTTTTTGGCTAAGAACGAGACGTGTGGATATTATTTTTTTGCAATAGAATTCTGGAAATTACACTATCTCTCATAGGAGATGAGAGAGACCCCAAAAGCCATTTCAAGTTGTGGGAATTCAATTCAATTAAATTTGACAATCATGGCTAAAAACTTATGTAACTTTTTTTCATTTTAATTGAAATAATTCCAGCACATTCATTCACATACTTCATCACAATATAATAATGTTTGGAATTGAATGTTCAACACACAACCTCATTGTGAAGATAGAAAGATTTGAACAATGACAGAAACTTGGGTTGATCAGGCTGCACATCTTCAGTCCGTCATTCGCACGAAACACACAAATCAAGATTCATTTTTCTAGTCTCATGAGAAACAGATTTCTCATTCACTCTTATAATTCGAGCCTTATGTCCAACATTTGAAACTGCACGAATACTTCCACAGCACTGTAATGGAAATTTGTTTTGTAAGACAGTTAGATTTGGTCACAAACTGGCCCGATCATCTTCAGTTCATGATGGACAACAGAGATATACTCGGGTTTGATATTGATGTGCAACAAACATGATTTCATATAAACAACAAAAATAGGTGATTTAGGAGATGATTTTTTTTTTTTTCTAAAACTCATACACACACGTGCGCACGTGCAAACACACAAACACACGCACACGCAAACACACACAAACACACGCAAACGCACACACAAGTTCTTATGATTTGTACCATGTTACTTTCTTTCCTATTTCACCTGAATAAAATGTACGGCTCTTCTTTATTTACAAAGTCATTTTTATTTGGTGTTTGGACCTGTACTTTATCAAAAATTTTAGAAATTCAGATCAGCAAGTATCATAAAAATTAGAGATAACACGCTCTATAATTCACTTCTTATTAAGACCTATGATGAACTAAAATGAGAAATGAAGTTAAAGAGGTCATCCGCGTCATTTGTTACGTTTCTCGTATCATTACTCATTAAAGTTTAAAAAATAGTTACATATATAAGTAATTCGAATACCATATATCATTTGCTTCCTAGCCATGGTGTCATGCCAGAATGGGCACCGGAGACAAAAAAGATTGATTTCACATCCCTAGTTACGGGAAGAGAGAGAGAGAGAGAGAGAGAGAGAGAGAGAGAGAGAGAGAGAGAGAGAGAGAGAGAGAGAGAGAGAGAGAGAGAGAGGACCCAAGCAATTGGGATAGAGGGAGGAACCCCTTACATTTTTATTTTTTATCCTTGTTTTAGTGCAGTTAGTATTAGCACCTCCCTATTTTGTTGTTAAAACTTCCATAGGATTTATCACTTTCTCACAAAAATTACTATTTTACCCTACTTATTGTGTTTCACTGCACAATCTTACGTGTACAGCAGCTGCACACTATATTTTTTCTCTCAAAAACCCCTTCCTTCGTGAAAATTTAAAATAAACATGGATCTCATCACATCATAAAATTCAGAAGTATTCTCGCCTTGATATCCTTTAACATCTCAGTTACATAATAAATTACGTAATAGTTAATTATTAAATTTGATCATTTATGTATTTATTTACATACTACGATTGTGGGTGGGTTGTAATTGAGAATTTAGAATTTCTTTTCTTAAAAAAAAATCACCAATGTTTCAATTATTGTTTTATTTTATTTTTTAGAAAATAAAATCTTGCCTCAAATTCTCCAAATGACATGTCAAATTTAAAATCATGCAGAGGAGAATTTGATGTTGGTAAAATTGGATGGAGTATTTTTTATACACAATAAAGGTAGAATATGGGAGAAGGAAAAATCTGAGACACGTGATAATCACGATGTCCTTAAAACTGTTTAGCCCCTTCACCAGTGTGCTAGAGGTTATATGGACTATTGTGTCCCAGGATAAAACGGAAACTATGGATACCACTTAGCACGAATCAACTACACCTTCAAGCTGGAACTAGAAAAATATGATAAACACTGGAAAAATGTGATAAACACCAAAAGAAGGCTAAAATTTTTTGGCTAAGAATGAGACTTGAGGATATTACTTTTTTTGCTGTAGACTTCTGGAAATTAGACTATCTCTCATAGGAGATGAGAGAGCCCCAAAAGCCATTTCAAGTTGTGGGCATTCAATTCAATTAAATTTGACAATCATGGCTAAAAACTTATGTAATTTTTTTTTTCCTTTTCATTGAAATAAGTCCATCACATTCATTCACATACTTCATTACAACATAATAAAGTTTGGAATTGAATGTTCAGCACACAACCTCATTGTGAATATAGAAAGATTTAAACAATGACATTGGGTTGATCAGACTGCACATCTTCAGTCCGTCATTCGCGCGAAACACACAATCAAGATTCATCTTTCTAATCTAATGAGAAACAAATTTCTCATTCACTCATAATTTTGAACCTTATGTCCAACATTTAAAACTACATGAATACTTCAACATCACTTTAATGGAAATTTAGTTTTGTAAGATAGTTCAAATTAGATAGTTATAATGAAAAATAGTGTAAACATAAACAAAAATAAATCTCAAATTATATATAGAGCCAAAAATAATTGATCAAATGTAATTACAACTTTTTATTTTCAGACTCAATGGCTGGCTGATGATAAATTTGATATGCATGCAGTATACAACCCAAAATATTTGGATTAACGTGTAATCATTTCATGTCATCAATTGCCCAAAAAAAAAATGGATACCCTTTAGATATTCTATAAACATCAATTATTTGTGTATATAATCGATGTCCATGCGTATCTATAGATTTTTAAAACCCATCCATTCAAAACTCATATGATTTATGAATATGGATGTGTTTATGTCCATTTATACCTAACCCATAAAATTTCATACATGAACAGCCTGAACTCGCCCATTTGTTGCCCTAAAAAAGGCGTAATAATTTCGGAACAAAGTACATAATACTGCACTTGATCTTCACACTTCGACCTACATTTACTTATCTTTTCCTTGTCCTTGTTTTTTTTTTTTTCTTCTTCTTCTCAAACAGGTATAATTGGCCGTTTGGGAAGTAGCTCGTTTCCTGCAAGTAAGAAAACGTTCATGACTCCCAAACGGTCTCTTCATTGGGAGCCCTAAACCCTGTCTCTGGACAAGAAGACGAAACTAACATTCCTGGTTCTCAAGAAGCAGAAACATTGCAGGGGATGATCAACCCTGAAAATCCTCAACAAGTGGATTGCAGTAACAACTCCCTTTCCTTTCCATGACATTAATTCCTCGGTAGATGGTCACGGATCCGATGAAGCGATAACAATGGTGCTGAAAAAAAGAAGGAAGAAACAGAAGGCGCGGGCAATGATGCAGGAGCAGTAGCGCCGGAGAACGAGGGAACCGATCAGTTGGATGTAGAGGAGGAATGTGGTTTTGCCGATTTGATTCCTTGGAAAATGATGACTTTGAAGGTTTGATTAAATGGCCCGACGAGCAGTTCTTTTCCTATCCTAACTCTTACGGTTTTGATAATATGTGATTACAACTGTTTGAGTGGTTTCAACTTGTAGTTCTTGTTGGGCTTGCAACTCTAATGTTGTTGTGAATATTGGTCCTTTCAATGAACTTGTTTAATTTTTTTTTTTATTTTTTTTTGAAAATTTGTAACTTTTAAAGATTTAATTATGGACCTTTTCTCTTTTCTAAAAAAAAATTGTTTAATTTTTGTACAAGGGAAATTGTGTTTTCATATTGCACAATGTGTACCCTTGGATATGGACTAAACAAATTCTTAGATATTCTTGATATTTCATATGTTTTTCAAAATGATCAAGTTTACGTTGTGAAACATTTTGTTTCGGTTTTAGACTTGAAGAACAAGAGTGAGAGGAATTCCTTTGATTAATCCATTTACATCTTTATCGATATCTCCATTTTTTTTCTTTTTTTTCTTTTTTTTTGTGTTCTTTGGGGTTAAGAAATTAATCAAACTTTGTAGATTTTTTATATTCGATTGAAAGAGAAACATACAATTCGTTTTAGGTGCCAAGAAGGATAATTAATGTCCGTTAGAGGAAAGAGAGACTTTTGTCAAATTTTTGCTTATTACTATAATCTCATCGGTTCAACTTGATATTTTGAAGTAAATTGAAATGACAGATTCTTGTGAAAAAATTGTTCACCAAAATCACGAAGAGGAGGACATACTCTTGAAAAGAATAACGAGGGAAAACGAACAAAAAAGATGAAAGAAAGGAAAAATCGAGTGGGTTTTTTTTATTAGTTATTCAATTTAATTGTATTAAATTGTTTATTCAACAAGTTTAAAAATATATGTAATAATTAAAAAAAAAAATTATCAGATGTTATCTTATAACATTAGGGAATAGATTCTTTGTCTTGAGATGTTATAGTGAACCTAACAATGGTGAAAAACGTAACCAAATGATTATTCCTCTATTCTCTTTCCATGCACTGAACGCGCCCAGACATTCTTTTCTTTTTTTTTTGAGTTAAAACACCCGGACATTTTTTGTTTCTTTTAATTGTATTTTTTAAAACTAGACTAGTCTCAAACTATTTTTCGTTGAAAGAGAGTGTTTTCAAGCTTATTATCAGCTTATGACACCAAATTGACAACATAGAACACTAAAAAAAATAAAACCAAAGAAAAAGACAACATAGACAATAGAAGTTTTATGTTTAGATCGTTTTTTAGTGTGTGCTTTTAGATGTTTTTATATTGAAAATGTAAAAACAAAATTATATTGAAAATGTAAAAAGTATACTAGGATGATGAGATATTTTCTATTACAAAATTCTGAAGAAAACCAAATGAAAAATGAACCAAGCAAAAGCACACATACACAACATCTGATTGAAGCCGACCTGGTCGAAGAATGCATATGCATTTGGATCATCAAAAGGAAAGACTGAATTAGCAGCCCAGATCAGATGGTTCCTGATCAACAGCAAATAACAGTTGATTGATATGATGTTGTTTGAAAGAGTTGGACCAACAAAATTGGAAACTAGTGGCATAATTAGTTCAGGGTTGCATGTTTTGTTAACGTTTATGAGTATTACGCAAGATAACTTAGTAATTTATTTATCGACTCACTGTGTAACCAAACATTCTGCGGTTGCATGTTTTGTTAATATCTATGAGTTTTATACAAGATAACTTAGTAGTTTATTTATCGACTCAATGTGTGACCAAACATTCTTCTTCCTCAAGTATATATTTAACAAATGGCATCGCTGGATGAATGTTGGGAGGTGCTGGAGGCTGGGATTCGTAAGTTTATACCATTCTTATGAGAAATTGATAGGATCAAGCATGCAAGAATCAAGCGTGCAACTACAGTGCTGTGTGTGTATAACATCAACAATTTAAGGTTATAGAATTGGATAAAGATAATACATTATCTAAGATCATGAATATAGATTCTCCATGAATAATAGTTCGCACTCAACTCAAATATGATGATGCCTTGTGAAGCACGTGGAAAAGAAGGGTAAATCCTCCAATTTAGTGTCTTAGTAGTTTCAATTTTTCTTTCCCCACGGTTTCAATTTCCATTATTCACCCCCATATTTTGAGATTAAATTGAGACTATATGACATTTACCCTGTCAAATGGTGAGTTTTTAGGAGTTGGGAATGATCTTGTGCAAAAAAAAAAAAAAATCTTTTGCGTATGGCTGGGTGAATAGAAACTATCCCTTAATATGAGTTTGGAAATATCATGCTAATGTATCTTTGAGATGATATCTAAGATATTTTCTGTTGTATTTACGAGATGATATTTAAGATAAGATCAGCGGTGTAATTATTTTACACGTGAAAATTCTTGTTGAACTAAAATGAGCATATGACAGAATTCTGACATACTAATTCCTTTAGAGCAGAGTGAGGTTTGTTAGGACGTCAACCCTTAAGAATTTTGACGGAATTCTCAGAATTCTTGAAGGTTGACGTTCTATGAGTTTTCGTGCAATTGAAACTTCAGAAGTGGAGTGAAGTTTGTTTCTTAAGAGACTGAACAGAAAGAGGATTTTCACACATTTTCCCTTCCTAGTTCTAGTTTCAAGTTCCTCAGCAGTAAGTCAGCTGCTGCTACAATAAATTTCTGTACCATTTTAACTTCGCTCTTCAGAAACAGCAAAAGAGAACCAAAATCAAGCATTATTTACAACATGGAAAATGATTCAGTTCAATCTTCTTTATACATGATCACAGCGAAGCAGAACTTTCGCCCAAAGGCATTGAAACTGCTTTGAACGATACATTAGTCCTCGATGAGTTGATGGAGTTGAGGGCTCTCACAATCTCGGACATGGACGGGCGTTTCTCTGGCATTACATTGGTGCATTTCACTGCAATGTCAAGAACCGACAGCATTTCTTGATGGTATTCATGAGGGATCTTCCGGTCGAGAACTTGTTGCGCGCCATCTTTAATGTTGATCTTTCTTCTTACCCACTTCACAACATTGTGGGAGTCTTCTACTGATGAGGAAGGCTGCACAGCTTGTCTTCCTGTCACAAGCTCCAACAGAATAACTCCATAGCTGTATGTTTCCATCTCTAATGTTGCCTTTTTCGCATATCCATATTCTGCAAAAATTTGTAGATGATAACCGAGACAGATAAACAGAACAACCAGCCTAAACACAGGACATCCAGCAATGGCATGGAAACAGGATTCAAAATGAAAATTACTTGAAAGTAGTTTGCAGCGGATAGGAAGAACACGAAACACAGAACCATGAAATAGCCTAAAATGAAATTGTTAAACAAATGATAGCAAATCTGTATTTTGAACCAATTGTAGTTATCTCTGTATTAAGTGCTTCGATTTATCATGGACAAAACTCATGCTAGAAACCAGAGATGCAGTGAATGAGAATTAAACTCACTCAAAAAAAAGTATGATTTTACAAGGAAAATATCAGCTGTGAGATGAAAACTAGGCTTGAACCAAATTCCTGCAATGTCAGCTTTACCTGGTGGAAAGTAAGGAGAAGTCTCAGATTCTGATACCAAGGATAATCGAAATGCATTTTCTCCTACAATCCTGTCGAGAGCGAAGTCTGTGAGCTTTGGTTCATAATCAGCATCAAGAAGAATATTTGTCGACTTGATCTTTCTATGAAGCAAGACCTGAAGGTAATCCTCATGAAGATAAGCCAACCCTTGCGCAACTCCAATAGCTATCTTCATTCTAACTCTCCAAGGTAAGTCGAAATCAGATTTTCCAATGAGATCACCAAGACTGCCTCTATCAAGATGCTCATATATTAACAAGATGGAATCATTACTATGACAGAAGCCTAAGATCCTAACAATGTTTCTATGCCTGATCTTGGCCAAGTTTTTTACCTCTTCCTTCAAGGATTTTAAAGATAGGCTTCCGAAATTCTCCATCTTCTTTATTGCAACACTCTCACCACTTGGTAATCTAATAATATAAACTTCTCCAAAAGCTCCATTGATTCTTTTGGCAGCCTTTTCATCCATTGCCATCAACAATTCATGCTCAGCAATCCTCAAAGGATAAAAGAAAAACAACTTCCACGTACCCGTCAGAGATTTTTGGTGGTTGGATTGCCCTATGAAGTGTGCTCTAAAAGCTGCAGCAGCTACGACAACCACAACAATTATGATAATGGCAACAACAAATTTGGAAAGACTAGACATCTTGTGCTTTCTTGAGCATGCATTGGGCAATCCAGGGCCACAAAGATCAGGATTACCTTGTAAAAATGAAGCAGGCAGGCCAGAAATCAATGAAACAGGAACTCTACCTGAGAGCCTATTGAAACTTACATTGAAAAGCGCAAGCTTCAAGTTTTGAAGGTTCTCTGGTATTGAACCAGTGAGATTATTCTCAGAAAGATCCAGATAAGTTAGTACAGGCAAATCAGCTAGTGAACTTGGGATTTCGCCAACGAAATTGTTATCAGCCAGAGCCAACGATACTAACTTCTTACAATTTCTAATTTCAGGAATACTTCCCGAAAGATGGTTGTGGGAGAAATTAATGATACTCATCACAGGAGAATCACAGAAATTCGGAGGAAGTTCGCCATATATCCGATTCTGAGAAGCAGAAAACCTGTACAAGCTCCTTATCGATCCAAAACCTTGTGGAACTTTACTGACAAAGCTATTGTTATCAATCTGAACTTGCTCCAACTGCACAGCCTTTGATATTGCATCAGGTATTTCTCCGGAAAAATTGTTGTTTTCAGCTCTGATTAGCATTATTTTAGGCAAAGACCATAACCTAGAAGGAAATTCCCCAGTAAACATGTTGTTCTGAACCTGAAACCTCTCTAGATTGTCACATTCCTTAATAATGTCATTAGAAATGGTTCCATTGAAAGAATTTGTATGCAAAACCATATTTGTAAGGCCTTTAGGCTCACACATTCCATCTGGGATTGGTCCAGAAAGTCTATTTTGAGAAACATCAAAGGAAACCAAGTTTTGCATAAACTTACCAAATGGAGGCAGCCTTCCAGTGAGATTGTTTTGAGACAAGTCCAGAATGGACAAGCTTCCTAAACCCTCAAAAACATCCGGAATTTCCTCGTACAAACCAGAACTTTGAAGCAAAAGCTGCTCAAGCTTATCCAGTTTACCAATATCACCTGGAATTTCACTAAGCAAGAAAGGATTCTGAGAAATGTCCAGAACCAAAAGCTCACTGCAGCCTCCTAAAACCTCTGGAACACTACCTGAAAGGAAGTTATTAGCCAAATTGAGAACTTGAAGATTCTTCAATGACCCAATGCCATCTGGGATTTTCCCTTCAACATGGTTCCTGCTAATGTCAAGAACTTTCAGCGACTTAAACCCAGAAATATCATCTGGGATGTTACCCCAGATGAGATTATTACTGATATTCAAGTACTCCAAAGATTCACATTCTGTCAGGTGCAAAGGGATAGCTTGATTGAAGAGATTGTCGGCAAGGTTAAGGCTTGTGAGTTTAGAAAGCTGACATATTGATGAAGAGATTTCTCCGGAAAGATTCAAACTTTGGAGGTCAACGGAGTAGACATTTTCAGCAGCACAAGTGATTCCAGTCCAATTACAGTGAGGAATGGTTGTGGTATTCGACCATTCTGAAAGAACATTCAGAACATCTTCTAATGAATCCTTGAATGAAAGGAGAATCTCTGCTTCTGATGAAGCAGAACTCAAGATGAACAACGAGAATGGAAAACATAGGAGGGTAATAACATTTGACCAAGAAACAGCCATTGGAAAGAAACAGAGTGGGGAATTTTTTCTTGTTAGGTAGAAGTACTAAACAGAGAAGAACTAAACAGAGAAGAACCAGAGGGTTCCATCCATTGAAGCACTAAACAGAGAAGAACCAGCAGAGTGTGCTAATCAGTTTTGTTTGGTTTTGTCATGTGATAAGTCAAACAAAAAAAAAAAAAAGGGATTGAACTTTGTCATTTCCATGTCAAACAAAACTTCATCAATCAAGATTGACTCTTTTTGAAGGGAATCTCAGGAAGTAAAAAAAAGCCAAAGAAGTCAATGGCAGTTGAAGTTTCAATTTCTAAGATAATTTTGTGAACCATTGAAGCTAAAAGCCTAAAACAAACACAACTGGAGTATTTAGTCTTGCTTGTAGAATTAAGATTTATTATTATTGCTAGTTAATCACTTGTTAACTATATAGTCAGTGAACTAAACCCATTGGAGCTTAGCGCCACTTGTACATGAATGAAAACAAAAATCCTCTATTCTTCTAGAAGTATCAAATGTTCGTTTATAATTTCTTTTAGCTATATGGTTCAACTAACATAATAAAATTATGTAATTTTTAAGTAACTTGAACTCGTAATAACTTAATAAAAGTAAGTGGGGCATTTTATATTTTTATTGCAATCCACTATCAATTTCCTAGCTAAGAATATAATATTCAACCAGTCATCTCCGAAGAAGAAATTAAAAATGATAGTGTTGAATTTTAGAGTTTGTTTGTTAGGTGTTTTTTTATGGTATTTTTAAAATATTTAAATAATAACTGTCTCATCCCAGCATATCTTTTGTACATTTTTAATACACATTTTTACATTTTCAATTTAAAAAACACCTAAAAACACAAAAAAAAAAAACACATATTGCCAAGCTACAAAGCCAATTTGAACCATAGATTGAGGCATTCATTCATGCACATTTTTACATTTTCAATACACATTTTTACATTCTCAATAAAAAAACACCTAAAAAAACACACACATATTGTCAAGCTACAAAGCCAATTTGACCCATGGATTCAGGCATTCATTCATGCACATTTTGCAACATTAAATACTGTGTATCCAGTGCCCCCACATTTCTGCACTTGGTGGTACCTGTTTTAATTGATATTTTCGAAGTTATTACTACACCATTATTTATTCATTACACTTAACAATCTAGTTTGACCGTCCAAAACAAATTCATGTTCATTGTATTCTTTTTATTCGATCAAAGAAAATACTAAATTATTTTAGTTCAGAAATTTTAAATCATCACGAATTTACAAAATATCAAAGAATAACTTTAATAAAATATAAAAGTACATGTGTTGATAATGATAGAATAAATGTCAAAAAAACAGTAAAGAATATTTGATACGTAAGTCTTTGTAAATCTTTTCAATGATAAGAATTTAACTCTCAAAACTTATAAGCTACAATCGACTGAATCATCGTAAATTTTTACGTTCAAAATGAAGAATGATGGGCAATAATTTGCTCTTTTTTACTATCTCCGTGAAATCAAAGAAGTCATGTTGTTGAATCATTAACACGACCATGTTCCCCAAAACCATAAATCATTTTAATGATTTGTTGTACTCCAGCAGACAGAGCATGGGTTGGAAATGGCTCCACCTAAGGGGTGGATCATCATATACGCTCTACTCTTATTAACAATACCTCACCACATCCAAAACTACCGCGCGAGTCCAGAGTCCCATTCTTCTCTAAACTAAAGTCGGGTGTTTTAACCATTTCGGATAATTTACAAGTGTCTACTAACTGTGTAGATTACTACATGAGTGAGATGATATGGAGCAAATCTTAATACCAACCTGAGTTGTTATTAAGGGCTGTAATGTACTAAAATGCTTGCTTTTATGCAGAATGATGATGAAGGCAACGCAGGTTGACTTTCTGATCAGACTTCAAACTTTTTTGAGCTTTTTTTCAGTCACATCGTATCAGGCAAGAAGTTACATTTCCCCAGGAAGCTCTGATTCTTTCCTGACATATTGACCTTCTCATTGTTTTATCACGTGGACTTCAATCACTAATGACGTGGGCTTCACCACATAAGCCCAAGTCAGCCAAAAAGTTCAAATTAGAACAAAAAATTTTCATTAATGAGAAAGGTTTTTGCAAATGAATTAATGGACTCTAATAATGATCATTTAGCTCAACGCAATGCACCTTGTTTCAAGACAGGAAAATGTTTTTCTTCATTAAGCAACTCGCCTCATTCGGCCTTCACATTACGGCATTATCTGCAATTTACATATCAATTTCCAAACTCATAGTTGTAAGTTCATCGTTGAACTAATATAATATTTGATCTCAATATGAAGAAACTCCTGGATTCGGGGGCCCCCTTACAGAAAATGACCCAAAACCCAACCCCTAAACATGGATGCCATGTCCAGTTTCCGTTTACCAACAAAAGCCAGCTAACCAGAGATCTAAATAGGAGTATAAAGGCTTGAATTGTATCACTCACACAGTTTCAATCCTACATGAATGAACTTTAATTCCAGGTCATGAAGCAATGACCTGCAACTACAGCGTAGGAATGGTTTCATGCAAGCACTACTTGCCACATTCCTCATCAATCCAAAGCAATACCATAAGATGGCTTCAATAACTTAACCCACAAAATAACTTCGCCGGATTTAAGAACTTTAAGAACTTTAAGAAATAAAACGAAAAAAGAGAAAAACAAACAAAAGAAATAAGAAGACCAGATAGATTGGGTGACTCGAAAGCTTACTAATAATTGCTCCTTATATAGTGCAGACAATCATCTATACACATCTAGAGTTATTTCTGGATCCCACCATCTCCCAATACAAAGGAACATACAGCAGATTGAACCATCTTTGTCCCTTTCCGATTCCCCCCATCCTTTTTCTCTTGATTTTTTTTTTCTTTTCCCCCGTCTCTTCAAAGAGATTTAGCAAACATTCCAAGCTGCATAGAATACAGAAATGGAAAAAGAACCAGAAGGACAAATTACATATTGCACAAGATATCCATCAAGCCAGCACAAATAAAGAACTAAGACACTAGAGCAACCCAAGCAATCATAGCCAGTTGAAAAGGACTTCCAAAGTTCAGCAGTGCATAACATGGCCATATCTTTACGCCTTCTACCTCCAACAGTGCTACAGAAGACATCATAAGACAAGTGGTCAACTCATAAGAAATGCAAAGACACAGACGAAAAGCAGCCATACTTAGACAGCACTTCAGCCCACGTTCCCTATATCTTGTCAAGCTTATCTGCTTTGACCACTGGATTAGCTTTCGCTATTGCATCCTGACCCGCGGTGCGATAGTCAAAGGGGCATTCATGCTTATCCGAATAACGATGCACTGCACAGAATAGATTTCCACATCTGCAATTGAAACCTGTTAAACCCACACGTTTGCGGCAAGTGTTGCACCTGTTGGGACCCTCTTTCACCTTTACCTCAGAACTCTGGCCGAATGACAAATTCAGGGGTGCTTGTGCAGGAATCACTTCGGGGTTGGCAGGCGTAGCTTCTATAGTAAAAGCACCAGCAACGACGGGCTCTTTCTCACTGCAACTTGAGCTGCCATTAACAATGTTCTCAATTGATGTAGCTGCAAGTTTGGCTTGTTCCTGCTTCAAGACCATCTCCTTGTGGCACTTGGAACACATATTCATGGTTGCAGCACTACCAAAAAATCCACAATTCTTTATGCACAGAATTGGCCCTGTTGGAGCCTGGCATCCCGTCTCTTTTGAGGACTCCATTGCGTAAGCACAGTGTTATCTGAGGGAAGAACAAAGAAGTAACCGGTCATGCTAACAGTACTACAACTAAACATACTAATTAACCATTAAAAACACACACACACACACTCACACACAAACAATTAATCACAAGGACCCAAATCGCACTGCAACCAGTAAAAGAAGTTCTCATGAACTGAATGAATGAGTACAGAAAATTCTCAAAAGCAATCTTGTGATTGGCTAACATCCTATCTATCATAGGTACAGAGAGTTTTGGAAACCAATCAAGCATAAGTATTAATTTTCCTCAATAATACACAATGGGATAATTACCCAAACAAATCTTCAAAACCCACTAAATCAAAATATGCGAATGGCCCTATAGTTCAATTAGTCTTGAACAAGTTGCATTAGCTATATAACAAGGACGAGATTAATACACATGCACATATATAATAGTCAACATACAACAATGCACTTTCTTACATAAGCTCAAGTCATCAGAAAACCAGGTTTACATTCTCATATTTCAACAACATTATTTCTACCATGTACCTAATTTTCTATCAATTTAAATATCAGTTCACAAATGATAAGTTGAAAGAACTTACAACTACTAGATGAATGCAAGACCTCATTTAATATGATATTAAAGCACTACTGAAAGTGAATCCTACAGTTCAATGGGATTCACTTACAACGAGAAAATTAGGAAGGATCCAAGACACTAATCAAAAAGCTACTGCAAACCAGACTTGCTTCTAACGTATGACTAGACAAAATATATCATTAAAAACTAGATTGTGGAAGTACCAAAAAACAGTAATTAACCTGAGACTAAAACAAGGAAGCAAAAAATTGTCAAATATAACAGCAAGACTGATAATAGTGCAATGAAAAAGAAGTGAAACTCATCCAATAAAACAAAAATCTCAGAAAAACTAGATGAGCTGGAGCAATGAGAAAATCCCAAACATGCCTTGCACAAAATCCCAAAATTTATGAGGGGTCAAAACCCTCGTATGGATGAATTTGATTACAGCTTCCACTTATACTTAAGCTAATGAAACCAATCAAATGCTAAAAACATTACTTTGACACAAGTTACATGTCATTGTCCAAACTAAATTCATTTTCTTCAGGGCTACACCAACTCACTGGTTATTTTCCTGCATAACAGCAGTTGAAATAACAGAACTACCAGCAATGATGCGCAAAGACCAGTGACTAATGCCATAGGGACTACATATAAAAGCTAAATAGTCAAAATTTTAAACAGCAAACGCTATGAGTACAAAAATCAAGTACACCAAGCTATAGAAAATACTCCAACAAAGCACAAAATTTGTATAAAGCAACAAAGGTAATTGACAAAACACAATTAGAAAACATTCAAGGCTGTCATGCTCATTCACAGTATACAATTGCAGAAGACATACATACCCTATGGGATAGGCTGCCAAGACAAGACCTGAAAACTAACTAATGTCACCAATCAAATTTTTTGCCACAGAACAGTTCACACGATAAGCACATAAAAGCTCAAACCTTTCAACCACAGAACAACAGCAAAAGAGCCTCGGTACTAAATCCTAAGAAGAACAAATGTTCCGTCCTCCAAATTACAGACTATTATTAAAGTTAGTAACAACCCACCAAAATGGTTAATGGTTGTAACCAAAAAATCAATAATGAAACTTCATACAGAAAAAGCCAACGAACAATCATTTCTTCTTATTGGATCTTACAAAAGCAGCATCAGTAGAATAAATAACCATCACCAACACGATAATACCAACCAATTTTATTTTATTAAATCAATAATATTAATTAAGGAAAAACCCTTTCACCTATAAGAGAAATTGAGAGAACTTTGGTCGATCTTGACTCGCAAAATCGAACCGGCTTCAGTTTGCTTAACCTTCAACACAAAATCAAAAAGGGGGAAACCGATTACACAAAAAAAAAAAAAAAAAAAATCAAAATCAATATTAAAAAGGAACAAAAATCGAACAAATCGAAAAGCAAATTAAGAACGCGAGAAAGACCCAGAAACCAAATACACCGTAGTACCTTCCTAATCAAGTAGAAGAGATAATAATCGGAGGAATCGAGAGGTGAAGACGAAGAAAGAGAGCGTGTGGACGGAGAGAGAAACTGGAAAATGGAAATGGAAACGCAAGGGGGGCTGCTGATTGTGTTTTATTGTAGAAAGTGTTGGGGGTTTGTTATAAATTTTAAATTTTCAGGAAACCCCTTAAACTATAACTATATTTTAGTAAGTCCCTTCAAATTACAGCTCTTTTACCTCCTTGTTGGTAATTGGGAAGATATTTTATTTTATTTATACTGTATTTGTTAAAAAAATATATAATAAACAACATATGTATACACCATTTTAGTGTAGCCAATCAATAGAGATTAATCTTTGTGTTTTTAGCCACGTATATTTTTCTCATTCTCCCGTAAAATTAACACTCTTACTTTTATCCGACCAAATAAACTGCAACAAAGGTATTTATAATGATTTGTTCAATTTACACGTATTTGTTACCATGCAAAGTAGAAAAGTGTGAGATATTAATAAAGCAGCAAAGCTATCTATAAAAAAGTTTTTTTAAAAAAAAAAACCCAGAATTTAGAGAATATGATTATTTACAGGTGTCTATACTAGCTTAATGCATTATTTTATCGAATCATTTTTTTACTCCTTCACCTCAAAATAATTCTTCAATTTAGATTTTTATATGTATTATAACTTGTATTAAAAGTAAAAATCAAAATGATATTTAATCAATTTTGTGATTATAGTTTTGTATACATCATTTCATCCAATTTTACATCCCGCGAAATAGTTGTGAAAAATATGTTCCCATTTTTTCTAAAGTGAGAAAGATCATTGGACTATGATTGGGTGCAATTTAAGTGAGTATAAGTTACGAATTGCAAAGTCAACTCTAAAAGTCTAAAGCAACTATTGAGAATTAAGAAATACCAAAGTACTCAGATAGTAAGGGAAATTATTAATAAAGATTAGCCGGTAGAGCTGATATACTAATGACTCTAAACAATAGGAGTTTGAAATGCTAACTGTTAACACCACGTTTGAGATAGGGAAAATTTCGGAACTCAGTTTCTTTTATTTCTATTTGTTTTAAATAGATTAAAATTTTACGATTCTATACGCATTCTCATTTTACTTGGAGATTGAAAAGGAAATGAAAAATTCGAATAAAATATGTGGTGCGAAATTTAAATAATAGGTCTAATAACAACGATCAAATTGGTGGTTTTCCTAATACTCAAAACAAATTTCCCAACCTTAAAATTGTCAATAAGCAACGTTTTTTACATTAATTTTTGAACCGAGCGATCACGTGTTCTCCTTCATAACTAGCTTCGTTACCATCTTTTCGTTTCAAGTTTTTGTTGTGATTCTTTGATGCATCGACTAAGGCTCAATCCTTCCCAACTCCCCCTCTCTCAAAAAAAAAAAAAAAACCAAAGATAATAAATTAAAGGGGTAGTTTGCAACTTTGTTAGAGTTTCAGGGTTGTTTTTCTGTGTACTTAAAAATAATTGTAATATTATTGCCCTTTTTCTTTTTATTATTTTGTTGAAGCTTTTTTCTGACTTTGTCCAGTTTTCCTGGCTTTCAATACTGCAGTTTGTCTTCCTTTTAATTTTCCCCCCAAATTCGTACAGAATGTAGAGCCGGAAATCAATAATAATTATTGCAAAAGATCTTCATTCAATTAATTGAGTTTTTTTAAAAAAAATAGATATGGACATAAGAAAGAAAATAAATTGCTTATTTACGGTACATTTCAATCTTTTTATTATCCAAGTCACGTCATTTCCCTCAAACAGTTTAATTGAACAAAAAAAACTCACTCTTCCTTCCATTATCTTGAAAATTCTCAAAAGAGTAGTAAAGGTCATAACCCCCTCGTCAACTAACTATAAAAAATTCTTACTCCCCTAGTCCCCTTCGTCCCATAATGATTCCCATTAACAATGTGAAATAACCAAAGCAGAACCTAGGAAAGGAGAAGCAAGAGGGACTGGCATTGCAGTGGTCATTCTTATCAGAATACTGGAGGTAAAGAGACACAAAGGACAATGAAAAGCCTAATACCATATCAGACTATTAGGATGAGAATATGGTAAAATCTAACAAAATTTTACAAATGTTTACTCATTAAACCCCAAAGGCCACACAAGCAAACCAAGAATCACCTCCTGTAACGGTACCGTTTGAAGTTGAAGTACAAATGAAGTATTCCCCGTTCGAAGGTGGACTTGAATCCTTTCTTGTGTGAGTATTCCCATTCCTTGTTCACTATCCGGAAGGCCTATTTAACAAAAAAAAAAAATTGAAGTCACATCTACGTAGAAGGAACAAGAGCTCAACTAGAAAGTGGTAGCCAGAGGAAATTTTGCTTTGCAATTATTGATCAGTAAAGGAAGAAGCCAACTTACAATGTCTTCATATGGTGGGCCAGCATGGAACCTGATGATGCATGTCTCTGCACTGTCACCATCCTTCTCAATGGTGTAAGTAGGAGCTTTCCCTTTATCTACAAGATCTGGATAGAACACATTGAATTTGTACCCTTGAACGATCTTTGGTGGAGGGTTATCATGGTCATAGTGAGTCTGATTGTATTTGTTCCACTCATAACCAGTATGAACACGATTGAAATATTTCGGCTTTCTCGGCCGATATTTATCATGCCACCAGTAAACCTGAAACAAAGGCAAGCAAATGCTGCAATAAGAAACCAGCAAAAATGAGGAACACAAACCCCCTCAGATAAAGAAAGATAGAACACCTGCGAATCAAGGTTGATTTCATCATTTGTGCCAAACACTGCATCACCTTCCTCCATAGCTCCCATGGCTTTCAAAGCTTTCTTCTCGAAGTTATCCTCAGGAGGAGTAGGCCTTGCAGTCAATTCTTGGAGACGCCTTTCTTCCAACACAGCCAAACGCTTCCTCTCCTGTGGAACCACATTGCAAGATGTATTCAGCAAATTAGCCAAACACTAACTTTTTACTTTATTTGATAAGTTACCAAATTGACCATAAGAATTTCTTTCAGTTACCAGTATGGCCTTGTCTTCTTCAGGGTCAATAGCTTCTTCATTGTCATCACCATGAAATAGTTCAGGTGAAAATGAACCAGCTTCTTCATCCGGTTCTTGACTCTCTTCGTGCAACATAGGCTCTGGAGATAGAACTCTAGCATCTGCTCAAAGAAAAATGTTAGCCAACTCAAAATCAATATGTCAAACCCAAAGCGCCTTATCAACAGTAACAATTTCCTTACCTTTCTCATCGTCATCTTCATGTTCCTCATCAGGCTCTGGACTCAGCTCTCTATCACTCTCTCCATGCTCCAATGGTCTTTCAAGACGTTGTAAATGCTTGCGCAAAATTTTGGCATGGATCTCCTTAAGACAAGCCTGCCTCATTCAAAGTATATATGTCACAACAGGAAATTCTTGAATGTTCACAATTTTAAAGTCTATGAGACCAATATGCACCTTAGCCTTGAAGATATGCAGACGCTTAAGAAGTGCTTCCCAATATTCAACCACCTTAGCAGAGCCAGACTGCATTTGCGACTCAATCTGAGACTGTAAAGCTTCCAATTCAGCATAGGATTTTCCATGCAGAAGATTCTTAACATCTGCTTCGATGCTTGAATGCATTCCCCTCTCTTCAGCAAGTAGCTCTGGAGGCAAGCGTTCCCCACGCACTCGGGCTCTATCCAAGGCATCTTTCTTTCTAGCTTCACGTAGTTCCCAATCACAAACCACAAGAAGTGCCTACAAATTACACATATGTTAAAGATATAAGCATAGATGTCTAATGTCAGAAGACATTCAAGCTCATAGTGAGTCCGAAGAAAATAAAAAAGAAAGAGAAAACAATTAAAAAAAGAAGGAAAGCCTGCATCTACTCCAAGTAATATTCGCTTGACCAATGCACACGTATCTCAAAATCCAAACAAACAAAAGGAAATTCGCCAAACAAGTGCAAGAATTGAAACCATGACCTTTGCTACGAGTTACAATCGTAACCATAGTAATAAATGGAGGCCACAGGAGGGATTCAAATCAAATAACTCCATAAGCAATGAAGATAGCGGAATCAATGTAAATTAAAGACAACCACCAAAAGGTTAATGAAATTGACAACATAGTAAAGAAATATATATCAGTTTTTACTTCTTGTTATTGTATATATTGGGTGCAGAATTTGAATTGTCTTCTCGGAAACTGACTAAATTCAAACTGAAAGTCTCTTCAAGAGAACAGATCACCCATATATCAATGAAAAATGTAGAAACTTTTATTAAGGCTTACTAACAGAAGTTACGGATCACTACCACATATAAGGAACATGTTCGATGAAGTCTATGTTATAAATTTACATGTACATCAAAAACAGGTCATTTATTCTAATTCCACAACTCACAAGCCTATTTGTTACCATGGCTTTTCAAGACATACATGTCACCTTCAGGTGTAAGAAAATTGATTACATTGAAAATTCAACTTTCGGATAAGTATACTGCCAAAGAACAAATACTGCAGCAATATGCAGATATACAACAAGAACATTCTTAGGGCATATTTGAATAAAAAAAACACACGTTTGCTTTTGGATAGCCAAAAAGTAGTAACATCAGCAAACCCCAATAAGTTGTAAACACAATCTTATTAAAGTAAAAACAAAAAAAATCACAACCAGCATTGCATTTTGTTTTGTAGAATTCAAAAGAGAAGCATTAAGAGCTCCATAAATGCCAGATTGAAGATGTGAGACTTCGAAAAACAAAGTGAGAAAACTACCTCCCAATACTGTATATGAGTAGGGGTTGCCCGGTCTAAATCTAGATGCAATTTTATTTCTGCGTGTAGTTCCTCCATCTCTTTCACAGTCAAACCCTGCATTGTACATAAACAACAGGGGTTTCAAAAGATATCCAAGCATACGAATGTTACCCAAATATGGAGGGAAAGCCACCTAATAAGTAAGAATAGCTCAAGTTGAGACAAATTTCAATTGCCAATCAGGGAAAGAAAAAAAAAAAACAAAAAGAACTAAGTTAAATGAGTCAAAAGTATTATGTCCTCCACACTTATATCTATTAGCTACAACTGGAATAAATTATTCAGAAAACTAATTGGTTTCTGTAACAAAAGTCCAAATCTCCACAATCATCTAAAACAAGTCACTCTCTTCACGTATGTTTTACAAGCTCTGACGTTGGCCTGTAAAAGCTAATCGGTATTGAAAGTAACACATGGAAACTTTCTACGAGAAATAGGCCTGTAACATTATAATGTTTGCCCATGAAGTTACTCATTTTACCAATGGCTTCTATTTTCTGCAGAATAGGACATATTACTGGCTTCAGAGAAGATAAAACATACAAGGCAAAAAATAGGTACTTGAGCAACAGGCATGAACATGTAGCTACTACATTACCTAAACTCATCAACATGAATTAAAAAAAAAAACAGAAAGAACGGAAGATGTATAAGACCACCATGTTAACAGAAGCAGTAAAGAAACGAACCAATTGTTTTACCTTGAAAACCATGTAGGGTTCATTTATCTCTATATCCATGTCATCCACAGGATTAAGATGCTTGATAAGTATATCGATTGGCTTTGACCGTCCTTCACGATGTCGTATTTCTGACCGAACTTTGCTTTGATCAAAATGAAACTGTAAACAAATCAAGTTAGCGTCATCTAATAGCCAAAGAAAAACATGATAATAATGTTCTGATGCAAGTAAGGAAAATATGAGCTCATGGTAAAGATCTCCACCTCCTCTTCTTTCTTCTCCCAGTCTTCAAACTCTGCTCGAGCACGCTCCCTGGCTAACAAGGCCTGTAAAATAAAACAAATTGTCACAATGATTATTCAAGATGGGACAACTGAAACAAAAAAATGTATAAAGTATCACCAAGGCATTTCAAATGCCAAAAAATAAATAAAAATAAGAAAGTACCATTTCTTCCTCGCGTTGCGCTTTCTCAATAGCCCTTTCCTCCCTTCTTTTCTTCACTTTCTCAATCTCTGCCTGCATGCACAATTTCAAGTGAGGGCTGATTAAATGAAAAAATATATCACAACAAAATCATGAAAAACACACATCTAGTGAACTCGGAAACCACAAATAGGAAACAAGCAGAAACATGATGATGGAAAGGGCAGAATGTAACAAACTAAACAGGAAAAACAAGAATACTTACTACACTATGTGCCCAAACACTCCCCCCCCCAAGAAAAAAAAAAACTGCTCCTCGTGTGGTCTAGACATGTAAACGAGATGCAGACAGTAAGTGATCAAAAGAATGAAAAATTAATAAAAGAACAGATGATGTACCAATCTCTCTCGCTGTCGCTTTTTCTCAGCTTTTAAAGTATATGCATCAAGTGGAACTCCTTGAGTGATATCCTTCTCGATCTTCTTTCGCCAAACGAATCTACAATGACATTATACATTTAGAAGTATTTCACAGTAAGTAATTTACCAAATTTTGAATTTGAGATAAAATCCCGGGGGGGAGGGGGGGTGGATTACACTGAAATTCTATCAATGCAACAACAACACACCCAATATCTTCCCAAATTCGTTGGGGTCTGGGGGGTCAAGATGTACACAGTTTTACCCCTCTATTCAATACAGAGAGGCCGTTTAAGTACGACCCAAGATGCATTGGCACATTTGAAGTAATGATTTCCGGCAACTTACTAAAATTAAGAAGCACCAGATATTAGCCACTTTAATCTAGTCCAGTATGAGCACAAAGCTGAAAGAATTATCAAGGATGATTCTTCCAGCTCCATCAATGTAAAGATTACTTCCATCAATGAAATCTTATCAAAGTAAGGTTAAACTATTCCAGCTATTTTTGAGTGTTAAAATCACTTTGTTTCTTTAAATTGATACGGATTACTTCAATAAATAAAGGAATCATATAGAGAATCCAGCGCATAGGGACTAAAAAACAAGAGGGAAGAGATAAGGAGTCCTCACAGAGTTCAACAAGCAAGAAGAGAGAATTTGCAGCGTTTGGAAAAAGAGCAATCTAACAGAAAGCAAGTTTCATGAACAGAATTTAATGAGCCAGTTAGTTTTACTCGCTGACTGTCCAATTAATTACATGTGTTCTTTTCTTTCTTTTATTCCTGCATGTATTTCAAGCCCTTTATCCAAGTCAAGAACAATCTCATTGATACTCACTGACATTATTGAGGGGAGAGAAGCATCTGAGAAGTTTTATTTCACAAGAGATACAATAATCAGCCTCTTAACTAACCCATAATCATAGAGGTACTAAAAAGTCCTTACCGTTTTAGCTTGCAATACAATGTTAACAATATGTGAAATAGATCAATACAGGAAATCAATATACATGGGATTTCAAAGAAAAAGGTTCCACAGAAGCTTAAAAAATCCAGCTTTAAAATACTGCAAAACAGGTTTAAACATTAAGTTTCAATGAAACAAATTTCGAGTTGAAAAGACAATCAACTCACCTTTCGTTGAGATTAGAATCTCCAAAAGGGTTTGATTCATTGGCATATCCAGAGATATTCTGCATCTTCAACTTCTTTGCAACTTTTGCTGCCTGAAGGGGACAACGAGAAAGTGACAATCAAATGGAATATAGTGGAAGTAAAACCAACAAAGACATCAAATAGGATAAATTGAAATGATACTTACCTTTCTCTGAGCTTTTTTGGCCATATACTCTGCGATTTCTTCCTCTGTGATTTTCCTCTTCCTTTTCTTATCACGGTCGTCATCACTGCTGTTATCATCAGAATCACTGGAACGGTGCCGTCTATGGCGCCGGCTTCGACTCCGGCTGCCTCTAGATCGCTTGGCTTTGTGCCCATCAGATTCCGACTCAGAAGCAGAGGAATGGGAACTCTCAGACTCTGATTCTGACTCATCGGAAGAATGCCTCCGCCTCCGACTCCTAGATTTAGATGATCGTCTAGAGCTCTTATTTTTGCCACTTTCATCTGCCCCCATATTCAATTAGGCCTGCATTTTACAACCAAGATCGTATTCAAAACCAAGTTTGAATGGCAATCAACCAAATTCACTAACTAAAAATTCGTGAAAGAATTGCATAGACTATAATACATCCCCAAACTCCCAGTTTTCCCAAACCCCTAAAACCAACCACCGTCTCCAGCCAAAATCCGTATCACATTGCACCCTAAAACCTCAGAAGAAGAACCTTCCCTCTCTAGCAGTGTTTTCCAGGTTACAACCACTCCCAATTTTTACAGATTATGCTTCACTATAAAAAGCTACGTCGAGGGCACAAGATGGAACCAAATTCAAGTAAAAATTCAAACAAAGATTTCCTGCGCCTCATGGTACATAGCCATCAATAATTGACATTATTAGAGACAAGCTAAGCTCACAGAATTGAAAGTGTAAAGAAAACACCGAAAAAGCACAGTTTCTTACTTACCAGACAAATCTGCTTCTCCGTTGGTACTTGCAATGAATGAATTAGGGGAAAATAAGAGGTTCGTGAAAGAAGACCGAAAACAGAGCTTTACGATGGATTGGATGAAAACCTATCCGGTGGGAAAAAAATCCGACCAATTCAAAAGATAGAATTCCGGGGATAACCGGCGAATCGATTTTTCCTGCTTTATGACTGGGGGAGAAACACCGTCGTCGTGAGATGGTGGCACTTTGCAGCGTTCACCGACCTTTGAAATTTCTGTACATAAATTATAGTTACATCCCTAGAACTTACCTTTATTACTTATTTTCTCTTAAGAGTTTCTGAATGTTATTATTAACCCAAAAGAAATCCTATTTATTTTAAAGGGGCCAAAGTAAACGGAAATTATAATTCAGGTCACAAAACAGCCTAAACGCGGGAAGAAGTGAAAATTCAGGGGAAGCTATGGCGGGAAGTTCGCTATCCAGTCTTTCCAATCCAGTATATAAATTACTTCCTCGTCTTCTTCTTCTCCTCTGTTCTCACATCTTCAATTTCGTACTTTTATTTAGTTTTCTTTTTGGGCAATTTGTATGGGAATGGGAAAGTCAAGGAAAACTAGGGTTTCCAAACAGAAGTTGGAAGAAGAACAAGAAGAGGAACAGGTTTCAGAAGATGAGCAGAAAACGAACGCTTCTTCGTCAACTCAAAAGAGCCTCTACGAGGTATTTGCTTCATTTTGTTCTTGTTGTTTTTAAGCCATTTCTCTTGAGTTAAGTGACAGTATGTTTGAAATTGATTTTTGTATCCTTTCCCCCCTTTTTTCTCATGGTGTGTTTAGTCTTTGTAAATTGATTGCATCAATTGAAGCTATAAGGCTGGAACTGGTGAATTGGGACTTTGATTATCTTGATTTCTTGATAGCCTTAGTTTTGCATGATTTAGGGCCAATTACAGTAGGAATGTTTGAAGTGGGAATCTTACTAGGGTTTTGATTAGGAAATGCTTTTTTTTTTTTTGGTGGTTGAGAATCACCAAAACCTGTGAAAATCAGAATCAGCAGAGCGTTTTAAGAAATTCTGGTTCGTGGTTATGAGCAAAGGTGTGGTACAGAGTCCAGCCGGAGAACTCAAAAAAAATGGATTAAGGAACCTAATGCTTGCTTACTTCCGTTATCAATATAATATGATTGCTATAGTTTCTATAATGCTTTCAGCGCATCTCATAACCATCTTCTACATGGGGCCATCCGAGTTTTTGAGTTTAGGCATTCAGAGTTCTTTCTGGGTTGTTATTTACTTCTTTTCTACCTGAAATAGGCTTTCTTATGGAAACATTGTGATTTGTTTGTCATTCAGCGTGAGTTCCTGCTATTGTATCTCAACAAGATCTTATGCATTCTCCTTCCTCTCTCTTGAGTTGTGGATTCTTTAGAATACCTTCTTGTGTTAAAAGCTGAGATTTGCGTTCAATAGAATTGCCATTTTCTCCTATGTAAATGTTTGCTTTGTGTTCTGTTTGAATTTAAGCAATAAATTTACACAAATCATTGTCTTTTAGATTCTCGGTGTGGAGAGCACCGCCTCCCAACAGGAGATAAAGAAAGCATACTACAAATTGGCTTTACGCTTGCATCCAGATAAGAATCCTGGTGACGAGGTAAATGTTATGATCTTACTCCTCTTCATGCTTTGATCTCTGTGTCCTGTAGTTTACTTTGTTTCAGATGGGATAGGTGGTTAAATTCAAATTACATTAGTATCTAGCTTTGAGCAAATAATAGGAGACTTACCACTATCCTTGTAGGAAGCTAAGGAAAAATTTCAGCAACTTCAAAAGGTTATATCGATTCTTGGCGATGAAGAGAAAAGGGCACTTTATGACCAGACTGGCTGTGTTGATGATGCCGTAAGTGATTGTTTTAATTGGGGCTTTTTTTATGCTCTTTTAACATCAGAATATTATATTGGAATGCACCATTGCATTTACAGGGGAGATTTTCTCTTAGTTCTCCAGATCGCATAGACTTCTCCATTTTGGAGCCCCCCCTTTAATTATCTAGTTAGTGCATTATCTGGTTCTTCTTTCTATTTTTGGGAATCAGACTTGAAATCCTGGGCCTGAATTCCAAGGGTCTTTTAATGTACGAGGATCATTTTCCACTTTTCTCAAAACATTGCAATATTCAATCTTCATTCGGGTTAACCTTTTTTTTTTCACTAACACAAGCAGTATTGTTTGCAACTATACAACATAGAATCTCTAGAGGCCTGGTTTCTTTTTGTACTTTTTTACAGTCCCCTTTAAGCGATTTTAACATATTCTATTCCCTTTATTTACAGGACCTTGCAGGCGATGTTGGGCAGAATCTGAAGGATTTCTTCCAGACACTGTATAAAAAGGTATAATATGGGATATGTCAGACTTATCTTGAGTTCTTAACCCCAGGATTTATCTCATGTGTAACTGTACTGGTTATAGGTCACTGAAGCTGATATAGAAGAGTTCGAAGCAAATTACAGAGGCTCTGACTCTGAGAAAAAGGATTTGATTGATCTGTACCAGATGCACAAGGGTAACATGAATAGGTATGATAGGATACACCCTCACCATTTTAATGCACATTAAATTGACAGTTTTAATTTTAGTTTGCTTTTGTCCTCAGAGTCTTCTGTTACATGCTCTGCTCGGATCCAAAGCTGGACTCACATAGGTTCAAGGATATTCTTGATGAGGCGATAGCTGAAGGTTAGTTCCAGTGACTAATTTGCTTAACGTGTTTTGCTACTAAGGAGTAGAGTCAAGGTTCTTCCATGCTTTTGTATTATAGTTTGCTTAGCAATGTTCTTAGTTCTAAGGCGGCTCCACTTTATATCTGAATAAAACTTGTAGGAGTTCTGAAATCGACCAAGGCATATGGTAAATGGGCTAAGCAAGTTTCTGAAACAAAACCACCTACCAGTCCTCTACGCAGAAGGCGCAAGTGAGTAACTTTTGTTAGATTTCTCTTCTCTGATATCCGTTTCCATCCAATCCTGGAATCAGCCATTCTGTAATATTCAACCTTATTTGCAGAGCAAAGGAAGACGAAAATTCTTTGGTTGCTATGATCTCACAGCGAAAAAATGAGAGGAAATCTCAGATGGAGTCTATGCTCTCAACTCTAGCTAGCAAATATGGAGGTGGTTCAGTTTCTGAGCCTAGTGAAGAAGAATTTGAAGCTGCTCGCAGAAAACTTGAAAGCAGAAAGACTTCCAAGAGGAAATGATTCTATTCCGAATCATCATATATGCAAGGAACTCTCCTCTCTCTGAGAATCTAGGCTGAAAACATGGTGTCATTCGATGATTTTCCGCTTCATAAACATTTGCCCCTGTTATGTATATTCTCTTTTTAAATACCTTGGTGATTGAATCCGGACGCAACTGTTTTCCTTTAATCGCTGGATGCATTTCTGGTGATATTGCTTCCTGTTTGATCATGACCAACTTACTCAAAATGAATGACACTGCTGCATTTGTTCATTTGTGGGAACTGCAGTTTATCATTGGTAGCTGAAATGTGGAAGGTATTTTGGGGGCATATTTAGGGCGGTTAATTTACTTGATTTGGAAGAAAAGTCTCTCATAGTCAAGTGAGTCATCTACGCTGTAAGCGCGGATGGAAATAATAAGAAGGAAAGAAAAAGAATGATCAGTACACATCGAATTCATTTCTCAGTCAAATCATATTATAGCAAAAAGGGGTCATTTCACCTATTATTAGTTGGTTTTGAAAATGAATGTTCAAATAATTCAAGAGTACTTACTATATAACATTGTACTTCTTGTGTCCAAACTATGGACAATGTAGAATGGGACTCGATAAACTTACTTATGTAACTGTACTCCCTTGGAAGTAAATGACCACTTTTCATTCAGTAAACTGTAAACCCCTCCATTTTTTTATTTTTTTATTTTTTTTTATTTTTTTTGGTCAAATTTATACTACCTACTATTCTCCCACAATAATTTTTTTTTTTGTTTTGGTACAGATAATATAATAGTCTACGATCAACTTTCTTCTGGAGAGAGTAGCCTCTTATCAGCCTGAATAATGAAATTCTCTAGTTTTGTTTGTCTCAATTTAATTTCTACTTTTATGTCGTATGAAAACTAACCAACCAATCAATGAACCCTTTAGAAGAAAAAATAGATACACTTGTTAGTGTCTGATGATATATTATTTCTGTTCCAAAAAAAAAATCTAAAATCCATGTGAACAATTTTATCTTAATCTTTTTTATACAAATATCAAAATTTAACGTGATATTCTTTTTGGATTAAAAGAAATATAAAATTACAATGGATAATAATCGTAAATGCCTAAAGAAAAGAAATCGTTCCAAAAATTCATTTCCAAACCACTCTCTCTTTCAACCTCCATCTTTTATTTAGTCACACGACCTAATCAATTCCTTTTCTTACTATGTTGATCAAAGTGGAGAATTTTTACTTGTGTAGTGGAAAAATGACAATCAAAAGGATTTGTAGGGAAAGTTTGTTCGCTAAAGTTTATATAGCTTTCAATTGTAGTACTACTATTTTTGCTTTGGGTCAATAATGATGGACCTTGGCGTTTGGGGGTCCTAGGAAGACCAACTAAACTGCCAAAATTGAAACTACAAACAACGAAATGCCAATGCAACTTCCACAACAACAGCTGCTTTCTAATGGGTTGGTATCTTTCTTCATCGATGTCTACAAACCTCTCCAAGAAGAAATGAAACATTTATATTTCAATCAACAAGTAAACGTTATTAGTACTAATAATTTAATCCTCTACTGTCCCGGCGCATCTTTCTGTCTCATTGTTTCCCCCTTAATTAGTTGAATGTAATCAACCCTAATCGAATAATTACCGATCTTTCTATTTAATTGCATGATATCAATCTTTATTCAACTATATATACTAATCGATATGTGCAGTGTATATCTTTTTTTCCCCTCTCCCTTTCGATAAAGAGAAAACCATATTAACAGATAAAATCTCTTGAAAATAACGTATAAAAACCAAATAATAAAATTATAAATCAATACACACAAACTCTTGATGATTGTTTTAATTAGAGGAGAGGGGGTTTTGAACACAAACACCCTAGTAAGATGCCAAGACGATGACTAATCAAGTCAACAAATCCATTCCCACGATTATTAGTGAATTACGTTACTAAATTGATTGCAATTTTCTCTTCTTTCTTGGTACAAATTGATTGGAAGTTTAGATACTAGGTAAGTTAAAAGAGTTACGTGTCTTGATGATTTAAGATTGTCACGAACAACAAACAACTTATAAAAAAAAATTAATTAATTAATTTGCATATTGCAAAGACAACTAATTTAATAATACAGCAACAGCCATTATTGTTGATTAGACAGCAAGAAAGCAAAGGAAATAATTGAGCTGAAAATCCCTCTAGAGAGAGAAAACTAATTAAGGTTAGTGAATCCATTTTTTATTATTTTTATAATAAGTACGTGGGACTTGTCATTATCCAAAATATAACGTCAAAAGATTTGATACATAAACCGTGTGTCTGTTCAGAATCTTTAAGGTGGACACGAATTCAATTTTCGGGTAAGAAAAGAGAAGCATCTTTCAACAAATTGAAACATCCTTTCTTCTAATTAAATTGGCTGCTGTTTTGTTTTTATTAGCATTTTTTCTTTCTTTCTTTCTTTCTTTTTCTTTTTTTAATTCCAAACACCTCTTGATACAATATAAATTAAATTACGTGTAAATTAAATTTAATAAGGTTTAGAAATATATAAGAGTTCGAGTTAAAATAATTAACTTACGATCAAATTATTACAATTTATATGTCGTATGAAGAGTTAATTTGACTAGTTTGGAGTAAATTCGAGAAAAAAAAATGTAAAAAGCATGGATTTTAATGCAAAAAAATAAATGAATAAATAAAAATCAAATCAACATCACTGCTGTTTTGTTGCATTTGCAATTTGCAAGCTTTCCGCTTCAATTTCTTGACCATTCATTCTATCCATTTCCACCGACGAAATTTTGAAGGCTATTTTTTTGGTAATAAGAAACCTAAAATACCAAACAAAAAAAAAAAAGGCCTTTTCATCATTCGGATGTTGTACCAAACTCTTTCTACTCCTTTAAATTAAGTTAGAATTTTCATTGAAAACGACATGCTTAGCACTAAACTAATTCGGCCTTTTATTAGGTCAGCTCTTCCCTTTTCTCAACCACAAAATTAGAACTCCAAATGAAAATTTAATTAATTGATGATGATTGATGATGAATTATTAAAGCTTTGAGTTGGGGATTTTGGTTTCCAACTAAAATAGCCAATAAAAACTCATTATCCAACTAACAAAATGCATGCATGAGCCTGTTTTTTTTTTTTTTTGGCATTGCATTATGTGGTCTGCTTAATCTTATCTCAAAGAAAAAAAAAATTAGGTATAGCTTTTCCAGTATTATTGTTGGTTGTTGAAAAACAAAGATACATAAGAATATTACTCCCTTTTTGGTTTGTAACTATATTCGAGGTTTAATATTCCATCCGTCTTACAAAAAATAATCTATATTAAATTTTAAGTTTTGTTATGTTTTTAGTATAAATTTGAAAACTCAATATGAACTTTTTTTTTGGACCGAGATAGTATATAATGTACATTTTCATTTAATTTCTGTTGGAACAGAATCAATATAACACTAATCAATACAACTAGTTCGATAAACACTTTGCATAGTTTTGCAATCTGATGGGGCATTTAATTTGATTTGAGGAAAACATAAAATAAATTTCTCTGTCTTATAACTGTTGTTGCTTTAAATGTAACCTTCTCCAACTCTCCATGTACATTGATGAAATCAAGTTAAGCATGACTGTAATAAATTAATCACTCACGTACAAAAGCTTGTGAAAACAATAAATTCTTAGATTCTTCTTGTTTCACTATTTTAATTTATTTTTTCAATTCACGATGATTTGAGCATTTGGAAGAGGTGGATTGTGTCATACTGTATTTAAAGACGAATTTATTTTTATGTCAACGACTAATTTATTCGGAGAAATTAAAATACAATGTCTCACATAGTAAATTGTTCATCTCTGTCAAAATATATAAATATTTTGAACTCTCATATCAAAATCAATTAATTATGAGTAGAGTAAGAAAATCAAAAGCCAGTTCTATCCAGGTGATAACAGTTTTGATTCAATTTATTATAATAGTTTTGATTCATTTTACGTAAGATAAATTGTAATAATAAGTTAATACGCGTATCAAAGAAAACACTATATTTACAGAGAGTATTATACGAAAATGCTACGTTAAATTCAATATACAGTTTTGTATTTTTGTCACTGACTAATGAAATCCTTTAAAGGAAAAAGCATCAAACAAAATAAAAGTCAAAAAGGTAGTAATTGACATTAGCACCAAGATATACACTTGTAGTATCAATATCAAACCAAAAAGAAAATACAAGATCCAGTTTTGGCTAAATGGAGTTTTAAGAAAATTTGGGCATGACTTTCAGGTAGGAGATGTTGACACCATACCATCCAGTTTATGACAAAATATTCTTTGTTCACAAGTGACTATAATACTATTTTCCATTCCTCTGAATCTGCAAACACAAGCAAAGGTTTCTCTCTACTTCTCTCTTTGGATTTGGCCCTCTCTCTAATTCTTCCCCCCCTCCCATACCTTTCATCAGCCTTTGTTGCATAAGCATTATTCCAGTCTCCATCTCTCTCTCTCTCTCTCTCTCTTTCTGCTTTGTCTCTCACCTGAAAACACACACTCACATACTTTCCAAGCTAAAGACGTATTCCTCAATTGGTAAATTTTTTTTCAACTTTCAGTTACTATTGAATGAACTAGATTCATTTAAGGATTTAAAGGAGGGAACAGCAGTTTCAGTTTGCTACATATTGATTGTGGTTTAGGTGGTAAAGAGCTTTTTTTTTTTTTTTTTCTGTTTTTCAATAGGTATCTCATCTCATTAGTAGTGGTAGGTTGCTTTTGTACATTAACTTAAAGAGTTCTTTATGCTAATCAACTTTTCCATAATTAATTAGTGCAATCACTGCACATCACACACACAAAATTTTTTATGTATATATAACAATTGCCCTTTTGGCCTATTTGTGTTTTTTGGTTTGTTGCTTTTACTTGAGTATGTTTTGACACCCTTTTCTTACTCCATTTTCACACAAACACACACTTGGTCATAATTGTGGAATGCAGCTTTTCTGCAACACTTCAATTCAATGTCCCTTTAATGTCTCATTCAATGCTTGAATATTCATCAAGAACCCAACTTTGAAGGCAGCTTTTCCTTGATTGCAGCTCTCTGCAGGCCAAGATTTTTCCTTTCTTCGGTCAGCTACAAGATTCAGAAGTGAACCCAGAAGTCTTTTGTTCAGCAAACGCAGGTTAGAAACTGCTTTTAATCAGCTCAAGTTTGTATCTTTGCACTAGATTTGAACAGGGCCCATCTCAATTTCATTGCTGTTTCATTTGTTCAAGCTTAGAAGGGGCAAAATGGAGACAGATAGCGGCGATACGCAGTCTAAGTTGGAAGATTATGAAGTGATAGAGCAGATTGGTAGAGGAGCTTTCGGGACAACATTTATTGTTTTGCATAAAACTGAGAACAAGAAGTAAGAATCTCTTAAACCCAAGTTTTTTCCCATGTGGGGTGGTGCCTATTTTTGCGTCTTGATGTGTTTTTCTGCGAGAAAATGAATATTTTTATGTAATTTGGTGTGATTTATGCACTTGGGTCATGCCGTGTTTGGTAGGGTAGATTGACCTTAAAAAAACTTTTAATCACACACACAATTCTATGCAAATTTGCATAGTCAAAGGTGGACAAGCCATGTACTCATGTATGTGTGAATCTAGGAAAACGATTCTTAGGCCAATTTCAACAGAAAAGTATGAACATTTAAGTCTCGTCTGGTTATCTTGTCATATTTTCAATTGCAGAAGCTACAGAAAGCGTGCTAGTAACCATATAAAATTTCCAGATTTATAGTTTTGATAGACGGAACTCTGATGCTATTAATTAAGTGCTTTTGGTCTCTTTTTAATAGCAACAGCCTAATAAAATCTGTGGAAGTAGTGGATAGTAAGTAAAAGATGTTCCTGGACTTCCTGCTAAGAACTGATTTGTTTCAAATATTTTAATAGGCATATATTGCCCCAATGATGGAAGTTGAAAATAATCGAATATTAATTACACAAAATATATCGCTGGATTTGGCTCAAAATGATCTTAAATCTTGAATGAAACTAAGATGATCATGGTTAATATTTGGGAAATATTGTATTTGTTTAGACTAAGGAGAAATATTGCCAATTTGATTTAGGTATGTTTTGAAGAAAATTCGTTTGGAGAAGCAGACTGAGAAGTTCAAACTCACAGCCCATCAGGAGGTAATGTGATGTGTTCCTGCAGTTTCTATTTGCAAAACATCTAAGATAAGAGTTTTCTTGTTGAGAAATTTACTGTTTTCTGTGAGAAATCTAGGATGTGTTCAACTGTTTCATTAGGTTTGATACTTTGTTTCATTATCACACTCATCTTTTGCACGTAAAGTCGTGAGTTTCATGGAGTAAAATATGAATGATTTGGAAGCACCAGAATTTAGTGGGGAGATTCAGCTTAGGTGTAGGATTTCTGTGGAAAATGTGCCTTGCTTTGGATGATTCGGCATGATTTAAGACTTGTGCGAGATCCTGCGTGTTTGATCCTTTTGTTAAGACTTGTGCGAAATCTATTGAGCTTTTTTTTAACAAAAACATAAAAAATAAAAAAATTTCTTACTACTCTATGCATGAGAAGTTACATGCTCTTTGATATGTCATTTGAGCTAAGCTCTTGAGATTTTTGCCGTACAACCCTTCTTCTAATTAACTGGTCAGAAATGAACCTTTTTTCAACTTGATTGAGGTCTTTTTAATTTAATTTGATCAGGCCAAACCAAACCTTGACTGAAACTGGAAAACTGAACCTGAATTTCATTTCGGACGTGTCTGATATATTAATGACTACCTACATATTTGTGAGATTTTTCTTATATGGGTTAAAGATAATTCAGTATGAACTTGTTTACAGATGAATTTGATTTCTAAATTGAGCCACCCCTACATTGTGGAGTACAAAGATGCTTGGGTTGATAAGGTATGTGAATCCTTCTTATGTTAGCTGAAGGAAAGATTTGCAATTAGTAATTGCACACTTCTATGAAATCATTGCTGCATGAAGGTTTTCTTGCAGAAGCTTAACATGTAACCTCTTGCAGGATTGTGTATGCATTGTCACCAACTACTGTGAAGGTGGAGACATGTACGTGGTATTTCTATATTTTTACTACATCAGTTACATTTCTCCTTGTTTTCCCTACCTCCTCTCAAGTGAAAGCCAACCATGCTTTTCGAAATTTATTTTCATCTCTATCTAAGTTGTTTGTTATAAAGGAAAAAACTAATCAGTTATCTTGTAAAGGAAGCGAGGAATATTCTTTATGAAATACAAGTTCAATTTGCTATTGATTCTGAAACCTTGAGTTTCTGTTTCCTAGTATTTGAATGTCGAATTAAATAATTGTGACAACGTTCTTGCAATAGAAAGAACATATGGTGAAAAAAAAAAAAGTAGATTGTTTAAGCTCCACCTTTTAAATGATTCTCTAAGTTTTCATTGCCATGAGCAGGGCTGGGATTTTGAGGAAAGCTAGAGGAGCACTTTTCCCAGAGGAGGTAAACTAATGGCATGTCTTGCAGCTGAAGTTCCTTCATCCCTTTCTACATTTGTTTATAAAAACAGCATTTGATGTTTTTGTTTCACAGAAAGTCTGCAAATGGTTGACTCAGTTATTACTGGCTTTGGACTATTTACATTCTCATCGTGTCCTGCACAGGGATCTCAAGGTACGACTGAAAGCTATTATAAAAATAAATAAGTGTTTATTAGTTTAACTTTTTCACATTTTTGACAAGAAACCATTTTCTATTCAGTTATCAAACATATTTCTAACAAAGGAGAATGACATCCGTGTTGGTGAGTGTTCCGTGCTCAGAGCTTTCTTGTGCTGCCTTTAGTTTGTCAGTTCTGATTTTGGGGTTTTTTTTTTGTGGTATACAGGTGATTTTGGATTGGCAAAAATACTTGATGAAGGGGGCTTAACTTCCTCGGTAAGACAGCTCTTAGTCTACTACATCTGGTGTCTTTTATTCTACGTCTCCTGTCCTTAGCCGAACTGTAGTCATTCCCTTGTGCTAGAGAATCAAACAGAAAGCAGAGTAGTGGGGTGATGATGCATGGTAGAAGGGTAGAACTTGCCTACAGTTTCAGTTGTGGACATATTCTAAAATCTGTGTATATGTTGCTTGTTGCTTTTGGTTTTTTTGATGATGTACCCTGGTTATGATGAACTCTCTGAAATCAGACTACTATGTGCATATAATTTCGAAGCAATCATTCATTGATGGTTGTTGCTTGGAAACAGGTAGTTGGAACCCCGACCTACATGTGCCCAGAACTCCTTGCTGATATCCCTTACGGTTACAAATCAGATATTTGGTCTCTTGGTGAGAATTGATTTCCAGAACATTGTTTAGAATTTTAATTCCTAGTACTGTGGTTGACATCATTACTCATTTCAGGTTGCTGTATGTTTGAGATTGCTGCCCATCAAGCTGCATTTAGAGCTCCTGTAAGTGAACATTCAGCCACTGTTGCATACCACATATACAATTATTAGCTATGAGAAGCTATCTGGTGAAAAAATAATCATTTGAACTGTTTCGAACAGGACATGACTGGACTTATTAACAAGATCAACAGATGTTGCCTATCTCCACTACCTGTTGTGTACTCCTCGTCCCTGTAAGTGTTCCGACATTAAATTGACAATTGCAGTTTCAAGTCTGAGCTTTGTTCCTTGAGTAATTATTTCCTGAGACTTGGGCTTATTTGTACCAAGAAAGGGGTGGTAACCTTTGTTAATGGCTGTAATTGGTACAGGAAACAGATCATTAAAACCATGCTAAGGAAAAGTCCAGAACATAGACCAACTGTGAGTTAAAGTAACCTTGTTTGAAAGTAAAATTGAACTATAATTGTTAATTGTTACTTTTCTTATTTATCAATCTAATTATCAGGCTGCAGAGTTGTTAAGACATGCCCACCTGCAACCATACATCCTTCGTTGTCACAACCCCTCTTCTGTCTTTCTTCCAATTAAATCCCCAAATACCACTAAAGAGAAAGGTACAAAATCCTCACCTAGAAGAGCAAGCAGTGGCAAAGAGCATGAGGACAGAGTCTCTAAACTGAGAGAACGACGTGTTCTGCCATTTGATGAACATGCTGAACCTCAGCCAAGAAATCTTGGAGATAATAGAAAACCAATAAATGACAAACCTGAGACCAAGAGAATTGATCGTACTAGCTGTTCCACTAAGCACTCCCATGATACTGATGATTCAAGAAGTGGAGATACAAGTTGTGAAACCATCATTTGCAATGGTGATTATCAGGATCATTCGGATTCATCATCTCAGAAGGAAAGTGTTCAGACTGGGCACTCGTCATGGTTGTTATCAAATTCTCATCCTGAAGAGCAAGAAAAATCTTCACCTGATGATATCTTGCAGTTTGAAGAGCTTGACATGAATGTTGGAAGAATAGAAGATTGGGAAACACTGGACAGTCAACCTGCCAACGAGGAGCCTCTGAAAAAGTTAGAGGACCCTAGTTTTGATATGAATGGTTACAGTGCTGCCCATAGTGACAAAGCTGCATCACTAGACAAGGAAGAGATATTGACAACAGAAACTCCGCCAGATGTAGCAGATGCGGAACCAGGCTGTGATATAGAGAAAGTTGAAGTCACTACTGAGAGTGTTGCGCCTTTTGACAAAGTAACGACTGAGGGTCATGACACACTTTCATGTAAGCCTGAACTAGAACTTCCGAAAAATATAATCGAGGACATCAAAAAGCCTGAGAAAGGCGAAACTGAAGCAATGTATCAAGCATCCGATGACATGTCGCTGCTTAAGTCTTTTGCTGCAAACGGCATTCGTGAGAGCAAGAACCAATGGGATAATCCTAGCCAACAAAGAGCTGATGCATTAGAATCTCTGCTTGAGCTTTGTGCGCGGCTGCTCAAACAAAACAAGCTGGACGAGCTCGCTGGTGTTCTGAAACCATTTGGCGAAGATGCAGTTTCGTCAAGGGAAACAGCAATTTGGTTGACGAAAAGCCTAATGAACGCGCAGAAATTAGCTAAGGGTGCCTGATGGGTTAACAACAGGTGATAGAAACTAGAGTTTGAAAACCATTAAGTTATTGTAAAGTTTTTCTTTTTTTCTTTTTCTACAAAAAAGGGTGGCTTGTGGTTGTGGACTTCTGCTGAGATGTATTGTGCTTCTTCGAAAGTGTTGATTGATTGCTTTTTGAAGATTGGATTTGAAGAGGTTTTCCCCTCATGTGGTTTTGGTGGTACGAGATTTTTGACTATGGAGCTTTCAACCTTTTTACATCAGCTCCATGGTTTAACTATATTGTACTAAACCTTGATTTATATATACTTTTGACAGCGTTATGTATATTTTCAGTTCGTTTTTGAGTATGGACAAATTGAACTTAGTGGACATTAATTTTGCTACAATTTGATTTGTAAGTGGTGAAATCTAATGGTCATGACTCATGATGTTTATGGTCGTGTTTTGATTGTTTTTCCTTAATCACTTTTGGTCGCTACAAGGATACGTATTAGTGGCAAAATCCCACATCGGTGCTTTGTAACACAGCAAACTTCCTTATTAGCCTGCTTAATGGTCGGTATTGTGTCCCTTCGGGGACATCCGATAAAATTGGAACGATACAGAGAAGATTAGCATGGCCCCTGCGCAAGGATGACACGCACAAATCGAGAGATGGTCCAAATTTTTTTGGACTTTTTGCAACATAATCTCTTGGGCTTTTGTGATTAGTGTGTAAGTTTGATCCATTTAATTATGAGATGGACTATGTCACACGTCAAGGTGAGTGAAAATGCCTTAAAAATAAATTTATATATCTTTTTATTTATTCATTGTTATATAGTACGTACAACTCACCGTCATCATAGACTAGTAAAAGCGTTTCTAAATTTGCCGGAATTTATTGAAAGCTGTAGTTATTGTTCATATTATGAACATGATCATGGATTTTCCACAAAAAAGAAAGAAGAAAATAGAAAGAAAAGGATGAGAAGAAAAAGAAACTAAGAATCAATGAATTTAAAATGTTCCAATCAGATGGTAGTTCCATCTTAACTATATCTGGCAGAAGCATGATTCAAAATAAAAGGGAAAGACTGTGGACCTTATCATTTCATTATGAATTTATTCATGGAAGGAAAACATCATCTGACCAAATATATATGCTGGGCTGTTGAACCAACCTACGATGCCTTGGGAAGTAAACTGGTTCATCAATCCCGGACATTTAACATTGGGCTTATATTGAATCAGTTACAGGCTATGAAGGTAACTGGTCCAATGTGAGTACTGAGTAAGTGAGGAGTGGTCAAACAAAACAAATAAAATAACAGTACCTGTGCTCTTTTATATAGCACAATCTTCGGCTCTTTGCCAAGTCCCAGCTCGCCACGATCTGTAACAGTGACTTATTTAATAGGTGCTGTTCCCTTAAGTCTTTACTAGATTGTCCGGACGGCCCTTCCGTTATAAGTAATTTTTTTACAAATGGAAAGGGAAATTCTAATTGAAATGAAATATGTATGTTGTTATATATATATATATTTTTTATAATGTGTAATGATAGAAATAATAATTATATTTATAAGTGGATTTAATGTTAGATGAGGTTGAAAAGATATTTATTTGAAATTATCATCTAAATTTTAGGATCTTTTAATTGATTATATATAAAAAAGATTTTCTAAACTAATCAAAGTAATATAAGAATCAAATTGTGAGAAATAAAAATAAAGATCATAACAACAATAAATTTCATTAAACCTTTTGTTTTTTTTGTTCGCCTGGAGACATGGGAGCAAAATTTTTAATTTGAAACCTTTTGATATGAATTTGAAGCAAAATTTTGGTCAGAGTTATTTATGAGATTTGAAGGTGAATTGAAGCAATGGTTGAATATGTCGATTTTTTGGATGCCTTCTGTGGAAATGAGAGTGCTCAACAGTTTGGAAGGAATTTGACTAAGGGCTTTGAATTTTAATTTTCACAAATTTGTAGGAATTTAATGTGATCTGGAAGTGTGTTTTATAAGTTTTAGAAGTTTTTTTAATCCAGAAATAAGTTTATTTTTTAGTTTTTGTTTTAGAAAGAAAATGGCACATGGCAAAATGGTTTATATAATATGGTGCATTTAGAGCCAAAAATTTTTAATAAGAAGTTGCCACATCAACATCCTGTATTCTGCTTTAATAGGGTAAAAGGGATTATAAATATTTTGATTTGTCTTAAGTTTCATCTAAATTGTCTTTTTAATTGAAAGAAAAATTTTAAAAATATTTTCTAATAACTATGGGAACACAACGAATGTGAAAATATATTTTTAAAATTTTTTTCCAATTAAAAACTATCTAAAAGGACAAATAAAAAGAGAGTACTTCTAAGTGCCAATAGGTGCTACAGTCTTTTTGATTGATCGGAAGGATTTCATTGGTTGTGGAGTTTTTGACAATTGGAAACGCAATTGCGCAATTGGCGGTGTAGAAAATCAGACACCTAGAAAGAAGGCGTGAGGAAGTGGTCAAAAGGTCAATAGTTAGAATCAATGTGGTACTTTGACGTTGACTCGGAAACCTCCGAATTCACACGTGTGACTCAATACCAAATTACCAAACGACCAAGACTGCATCGAAACTAAGCAATAGAAGAGGAGCTAGTCAGCTAGCTGGCTGACTTGGATTTTTTACCCTCCTTGATTGAAGCCACTTAATGGAAAAATTTGAGTTTATCTGTAGTATCTTGATTTTTAGTGCAGCAAGTACTAACACTCCTTATTTGGTGATATAATTCCTATAGAAATTATCTCTCTCCTCGCAAAATTACTACTTTACTCCTATTATTGTGTCTGGCTGCACAATCTTATGTGGTACAACAGTTGCACTGAATAATTTCTCCACTTAACGACACCATCGTATAAGATAAACATAGAAAATTTTAAGTATTTTTTTAAACAACAAAATTCTAAGTAAAATGCGGGTTTGTTTTTCTACAAGAGTAAGTTAAAAAAGGGCTCGAAGAATCCATAAAATTTCCCCTTAATAAAGTAATATATGTCGCAATTAGGAGTTATAAGATGTCGTAAATCCGGCTCAAGTCGGGAATTAATCTAAATGCTTGTGACATATACGATCGTTTAAAATTATCTCATAACTTTTCACCAAAAAAGACAGTCATCAATTTGTATTTTTGTTCCCTTAAAAGCATGTCATTTCTAAGTAAAATTCAAGAGCGCTATTCGTAGTGTAATTAACAAAATCATCCTCCCTACCCTAACAGGGATAAAAATGAAATCACATCTCAACCTTCACTCCTGTGGTTCCCATGATGTTGGTAGAAGAAACCTTGGCGAAGAAGGCAATGAAGCTATGTTAAATTCTTCACAGTAAATTAATTTATAAGCTATGTACCAAACAGGACCCTATATATGTACTAGGATTACACCTTCCTGTTTCGCAACACAATACAAACTAAGCCATTACCATTTCCTCATTTCCTGCATTCAGTATTCCTAAGATCAAATAAGGGGGAAAAAAAACAACAAGAAAATGTCTAAATTTGGGGGATCTTCAACCCAAGCCTACATTGTGATCGGAATGCTTTGTTTTTCTGTAATGGCGGTGGCTGCTCAAGATGGTTCGATCGCACCGACGCCGCCCATGGATACCGGAAACGGGGCTTCAATCACGCTTTCTCTTGCTGTTTTCTGTTCCTCCCTCATCTTTTCTTTCTTTGCCATTTTGAAGAACCAGTACTGAATTTTAGAGACATGTGACGAGCTATAAATATAGAAGGGTTTTTTTTTTTTCTTAAAAAAAAAAATTTACTTTGCTTTGCTTCAGATTTGTATATTCATTGGTTTGATTGTTTCTGATTTTTGTACTGATGCATTTTCTTATGATGAATACTTCAGTACTGTTTGTACTTTGTTGTATAATAAGAGAGTGAATGATTATACGAATTCTCGTGTGTTATAACTAGTGTAATTGGCATATTTCCTCAATTAGTTCATCATGCATGAGTTTTCTTCCCTCCTTACACAAAGTATAGATTTGGATTTTGTATGTTTAATTTCTAATATTCACTCTAATGTCCTTTTTATTATTACTGTATTTTTTATTTATTTATTTTTTTTACATTTAAAGTTTCATCCATTCCACCATTAGTCTGAAGTCTAAACCATAAATTTTATATGTTGTAGACAGTATTACACATTTACACTAGTCTGTGTATGTATTTCAGCAGCAAACTTCCTTCAATTTTAATTTTTTTTTTTCCATTGGAAGTAATCTTTGATAGTATTATTGATCCTATTTTTTGTCTTCTATTTATAATGCATGAGGAGATCTACGTTTGCCCAATTGTATACGGGAAAATTGAAGAGTGCTTAATTTGCTTAACCTTTCTTCGTCAACTTCGTTTTCATCTAGCTACCACACATCTAACCAGATGGAAAACGGACATTAATTTTCTAAACATTTTGTCGTGAAAAATCAACAGCGTCGATGGCTGAACAGAAGATGGTAACGTCAAATGACGACTGCGGATTTTTTAAGGTTCAGAACTGGCTCTGAATGTCGTTGATTTTGTGCTCAAGAAATGTGTCTTGATATATGTTAGGTTTTAAAGTAATAATTAAGATTAGATAGCAAGTATGCATTAAAAAAATATATATATAACAAATCTTCCAATTGGACTGCAGGCAAAATTTGGAACACGTTCTTCCTTCGATCTTCCAATATGGCCTCAAAATAATTTTTGCTAATCTTAACCAGTTTAAGACATTACGGGACGGAGGGTGAAAATGATTTGTGGAATTCTTTTTATATTTATTCTGTAACGCTTAATACTTTGTCAAGAAAAAGTAGGGTTTTCTTTTTCAGTATTATGCTATTATTCTTAAAGAGATATGTAAACCTTTTAATTTTCCCACATGTTTTAATAAATTTTGCCATACTTGTTCAACTTCTAAAAATCTCCTTCATAATATATAAGAGTAAACAATTTTTAATCTGTATTGTTGTTTTTTTCTCCTTTGTCCTTTCAAAGTAAAACACCTACTCACCTTATTCTTTCTTACATGGTGCATCACATTTAAGTTTAAATTTAATATTTCCATTTAAAGTTTAGACGAAAATTTGTTGCTCATTAAGCTACATTTTTCTCCATTTGGTCCATCCTTACTGCAGGCATAAGAATTTTCAAAGTCTAAAAAGTAGTCGTATTAGAGATGGAGTTTTATTCTTTATTTTTTCCTTTGTGAATATTGAACCCTAACTTGAAAGTTTTGTTCTTCAATTCAGTCCTGCCCTTATAGTCTTTATACAACAACCAAAACTCTAAATTTGCCTCTAAAGGTTGTTATCAATTACTATTAATTTCCTGCTCATATTGGACCTGTAGATAGCCGAACTTTCTTCCATTTGTCGGTCACAGATTCTTCTTCTTCTTCTTCTTCTTCTTCTTCTTCTTCTTCTTTGTACTTTCTGTATTTTTAAGATTCGTTTTTTGGAATTATTTTTCTGAATTTTTAATAAAATTTTTGACATTTTATATTAAAAAACAATCAGATTACCGTTTAAATATATTTTTAAAAGTTAAAGGAGAGATTCTATTATATTTGTTAGAAGCTGCGTTAATAAATAGTTACCCTTTAAATACTTATAAGGTTAATCTAAAAATAAGAATTAATGACCAATTTGACACGTTACATAGTGGTGTAAGAATCATATTTTCACCCTAACTTGCCCCATACTCGAAAAAAAGCTTCTTTTCAACACCATGTAGTTTTTCGAGTTATATACCATATCAATTGATCAAAAAAGATATACACTCTTAATAAAATGGGAAGAAAGGAAAAAAAAAAAAAAAGAATCTCACAATCAAACTTCCAATTTCAATAAAAGTTAGGCAGCCAGCTATAAATCAATCAAATATAATGTGAAAATTCAAAGAAAATTAATTTTGTAAAAGAGGGCGCCGGACGCCATATGATTGACAGATTGAGGCATGTGGAAGTCCCTAATAATAATATGAGTACAAAAACAAAGACAGCTTGGTCCAGTCTATGTAGTCTAATAATGTTCAACATTTTGTACTAACCAATTAGCCTATAAATTACTTAGTTCCCAACCTTAACCATACTCACAAAAACACCACAAAATATTTCATTTTCTCTTCATCATTTCTCTTTGTGAAAAAAAATGGCTCAGGCTAGCTTTATCAAGTCATTCTTGGTTGTCGTTGTTGTGACAATGTTTTCTAGTGTGGCCTCTGCTCAGGATGCACCCGCCCCGGCTCCCGATGCGGGCGCCGCTTTCAGCTTGCCGGTTTCTTCCGCCTTGGTCGGAGCCGCCGTGATTCTCTCCATCTCAGTTCTCTTCAGGCACTGATGAAGGAAAGGATGTTACATTAATGGTTGCGAGAGATTTGCTTTATGTATTTTCGTCCTGGGTACTATTAATTATAGCTATGATGAGTTTCTAGTCTTCTTCCTTCTTTTTTTTTTTTTGGCTGATGAATGGAATAAATGATTTATTAGTTAAATCAAGCTTTAATGCATGTATATATATATTTTTTCTGGTGATTATTTTTTACTTTTATATATGAATTGCAATATATAAAGTCATGAAAACATGCATAAGACCTTTGGTAGAAAAGCCTTGGCGAAAAAAGGCAATGAAGCTAACTAATTAAATTAAAATTTCAACAGTGAATTAATTTATACTGATATTGTTACGTACCAAACACTTATCATTATATAATCTATTCACGGACATATAAGAAGAAGAACAAGGAAATGAATTACTGTTTCTGGAGTCTGGACAAATGCCATTGTTGCAAAAGATATATAGATGAAGATAGAATCTTCCTATCCTCGCTGAATTGTGGAACTTAATTGTTACATTTCGACAAACCAAATACTAGTAGTTGTATTACTATCCTATATAATTCTGGAGTCTGGGGATAATTATGTCCACCAAATTACTGCACTGTATAATTCTATAAGAAAAATAAATCTTAATTAAAGTTCATTTCATTAACCTAGCCTCGAATAATTTTAAGGAGTACTGCGAACATTCCCAGTAAGCGTGCATGTATTATATTTGCAGGCAGTTAAAAAGATAGTGAAAGAATAGTAATTCCGATATAATGCGTGATTCATATAAAAATCATTAATAATTTGTTGTCGTCGATTGTACGAACTAATATTAATTAGATATATACGTACATAGCCGCTATTTCAATTTCAATTTCTTTTTCCCGAAGTTAAAAAATATGTCGAGTATTTCCGTTTCATGAATTAATGATTCAAAACCGCAAAATGGAACGCGTGAAATCGAATAAGATGGCTTTTGATTTGATTATTAGTAGGTATCTATAGTATTTAATTAAAGCAACAAACAAAAGGAACATGTGTCAGTACCACAATGAAAATTTTCTCGCTAAAAGCTATTTTCAGTATAAAATTATTTTTGACACGTGACACTCTAACTAATCAGAAAAAAAAAAGATGGAATAGATAAATACATAAATTCCTTAATTATAGCTATATAAAAATCTCTTAATTATAGGTATATACTAATCCCTTAAAACAACAATATTTAGTTGATAAAATCAAATGTAAGGAGATTCTCTCAAATAAAGTGAAACACTAGTAATATTTTCCCAATCCCCAATTTCAAAAGATCTCTTCCATTTCGCTCCTTTCTCACACCCGGGCCTTTAAATCAATTACTTAAAATCTGACATCAATTATCAATCCATCTCTTTCTACAATAATAAGCTGTCATAAAAGAAATTTGATTTTTTAAGGATGATTTTTTTTTATTCTTCTGTTGTAGATTTTGGTTTATGATTTATATAAACCCAGGCATAAGTTAACTGTTGTAAATTAAATATTGTAAATCTGGGCATAGATTTATGTGTAATAACCCACTTCCTATCCTTTCAATCGATTTTTATTCTTCTATTTTTTATTTATTTTTTTTAAGAATGATTCGTATTTTTTATTTAATCGATTTAAAAATATAAGTGGCACCTCGGGCATTCGCCCGGGGCAAGCATCTAGTACTAGTATTATACCCGCACGTTGTGCGGATTTTACTATATTTTAAAATAGCATTAATATACCATTATTTTCCTATGAAAAGTGTCATATGTTTTAGTTTTTCCGTTTTTTGGTATATTAGGCATTTGGAGTCCAAATGCAAGAGTGTCACGTGTGTTTTTTTTTTTTTTCCGTTTTTGGTATATAATGCATCCGGTGTTCGAAATCATTGTTCCAATTAATCCGTCTTCGAATCGGGTAAGTCACTTTTGGAAAACAAACCTCTCCCAATAATCACTACTGCATGCCCATGCACAAATTTAATCACGGATTGTAGTTAATTTAGTCCAATACTGTTACCTCTTTGATCAAGTATTTTATAGCCATATAGAGTACTTTAAAATACAAATTAATATGTTCAACTATCTAATATGTTTTTTGTTTAAGAGTATTAGTATATAAAAAAATAAAAATTCTAAATACGAATTAATATGATCAATTGTCTCCTAATATACATTTAATGTAACTAGACTTAGTTTTAAATTTTATCCGTAATATAATGATTCGGTAACTAATCTTTTTATTTTTGTAATTAATCTCTTTTTATTTTTGAAAATATCAAATAAAATCTTTTGAGAAATAATATTAATATACATTTAATGAATCCAGACTTGGTTTTCAAATTGTATTCATAAAATAATTATTTGTAACGAATCTCCTTTTATTTTTTTAAAAATTAATCTCTTTTTATTTTTTGAAAGATATATTAAATGGAATCATTTGTAAAATAATATTAACCTATCTTGCATGTATACAGACTTAGTTTCGAATTGTATTTGATAGTATAATTATTTAGTAACTAATCTCTTTTTATTTTTGAAAAATATATCAAAAGGAATAATTTGAAAAATAATATGAACATACGTTTAATTTATCCAAACTTAATTTTGTATTGTATTCGCAGTATAATTATTTGGTAGCAAACATATTTTTTTGTTATTGGTAACTAATCTATGTTTATTTTTGGAAAATATATCAAATATAATCATCAAAAAAATATTATCAAGTTATGTTTGATGTATCCATACTTAGTTTTGAGTTGTACTAATATAATTATTTGGTAAATAATCATTTATTCGTTTTGGTAAGTAGTCTCTTTTTATTTATGAAAAATATACCAATCATTTAAGAAATAATATTAACATACTTGTAATATAGGTAGACTTGGTTTCGAATTGTATTCGTAATATAGTTATTTGGTAACAATCTTTTTTTCTGTTAGTAATTAACATCTTTTAATTTTTGGAAAATATATCAAACAAAATCATCTGAAAAATAATATTAACTTACGTTTAATGTATCCAGACTTAGTTTATCCCAGCACATGAAAGTTCCATAGTTCCAGTTTGGATCTCTTTTGAAGGTCTCATGATTCATCGCTTCAACAAGGAATACTTGTGAAAACTTGCTAGCATCATAGGGACTCCTCTTCAGATTGATGTACCAACTCTCAACATGTCGCGGCCTTCGGTGGCTCGTTTATGTGTAGAGATAGATCTCCTAAAAGAGCATCCCATCCGCATCAGACTGGGAGTTGAAGGAAAACCTTACTTTCAACCAATCTACTATGAAAATATGCCTCAATATTGTGTTGATTCTAAAAGAATAGGCCATGATCATCATTCCTGTCGACATAATAGAAAGGCATCGGTCTCGCAAAAGGTTGAACAGCCTCCATCAAAGCAGCAATCAACACAACAATTACCACCGAATCCTTCCCCCACCAATGTTGAGAAGAATATGTTGCTAAAGGTTGTTGAAGCAGCCAGAGATCCAACTCCTTCTAGTGTTGGCCGGATGATGACACAAGCTGTTGTAGTGGATGAGACTGTCGATGCATCGCAGCCATAGCTAGAAGATGCCGTCGTAACCGTTTCAAAAACCCTAGTCATGCCCTCCTGTTCTAGCGAGCCGGCAACACCAATTTTGCGCCCTCCGAAAGCTATTGAGGGCTCAACCTCAAGATTGACAACAGTGGAAAAAACTTCCATTCCAGTCGACGTTCTAGACAACACTCCACATCCATTAATCTCCGAACAAACATGACTCGAAGCCGCCACAGTCACTGACAAGTCTGCGCATTCTGCAGATCCTCAGCGAGTCTCTCCAATTCTATTTGCGGAGAACCATCATAATTCCTCTCCGTTGGTGATTGCTGCTTGCAATGGAGGCGCATCAACATCACCGCCAACAAAGAAAAATTCATTAACTGGTCTGAAATCAACCCAAGCTCTGGCATCGGGGAAACCATCAAGGCATGATGTTGTGCCGGCGCTATCATACCAACTTGTTGTCACTGTTCAAGATGACGAGAAGTCCGTTTCTGATCAAGTTTTTCCAATGGAAACAATGGAGGAAGTCTGACGTCATCTTCTGGAGATAAGCGACGGACAGAATCCCAGTCAATCAAATTCCGAATCGAATGCGGAAAGGACACAATCTACTCCTGCAACTTCCTCTGATTCTGTTTCTTCAAATTCAAATTCAAAATCTAACTTGAATTCAGAAAGGATGCGGTCTGTCGCGTCTTCAATGCTTTGCGGATCTCCCTCACCACATGAAGAAGAGTTGAAGTCGAAGTCAACTTCATCACCGCAACTGAGTCATGAGTCTACCGCAAGTTTAAATGGGATAAATTCTACCAAAGTTTTTCTACCACAATCTTCTATTTTAAATGTGGTAAATTTAGATTCAAAGTTACCTCTGCCTCAAAATCTACTGCACTCCTCTCCCTCAAAATCTGAAGGCATGTTCTCTCAAAATAACTCAGCCACCAGCTCCGAACAAAAATTAAATCCCGATGCAGCTGAATTTAATTACTCTTCTCGGCCACGAAATCCTTTACTACAGGTGGTACTTCCAATCACAGTCCCAAAAACATATTTGTCCAAGGATGATATCGACGTAGGGAAAAATATCGAGCCTTCTAATTCCAAGCTATTTGATTGAAGAAATAAATTCTGAAAGTGGAATAAATCATGCTTCCAATGGTTCAAATGATGAAGATTTCGATATTGAATACGCAATGGAACAAGAATCTTTTTACAGTGAAGTTTCTGCTCCAACATATTACATTCATTCGAAAAAAACCAAGGGTAAAAAGAAAGTTCAAGTTCGTTAGTCTGCTAGATTGAACAAGGTTTAAACTTTGCATTATGATAAAATTGTATTTCATATAGGGTTTCGTACTATTTTTTCTTTATTATTAATAAAATTGTTTTTTCCTTAAAAAAACTGTATTCTTAATACAATTATTAATTTGATGATTAATGTTTCCTTATATCATATATTTGTCAATAATTATCAAAGACGTGTTTATTTTTTTGAAACGAATTATTGGTTAATTACTTAATTCAATTTAACAATTTTACGTATTAGTAATAAACTTTTAACTGTTTAATGAAAGAGAATTTTGGTGACGAAATGTGGTACAATTGGCTAAACTTGATCTTTGGGCGACACATGTCGATTAAGAACTCTGCTTTAATATATACTAGTGTTTGTCCCGCACGTTGTGCGAGTTGTTCAAGATATATATGAGTTTAATGATTTAACGATTATATGACATTTATGATAGATTGATATATGTAAAAAATAATATTAATGATATAAATTACAATTGTGAAATTTATGTCAATATGATATGTTATTTTAAGTGTACTTGAAATAATTTTCAATTTTTTATATATAATGCAATTATTACTTTATGTTATCGTTGGGACCTATAGTTATATGCAGGATTTTATGAAACATTATTACTTATTATTTAATCAATTTTATTCATTTTTTGTATTGGTCCCAAGTTGAGAAGGTGAAAAATTATTAACTACTTGAAATTATTAATTTAAAGATATTTTACTGTATTTCTTAATAGTTTCCTCCCAAAATTAAAAAATTCCTCTCAATATATCATTTGCCTTGTAATTTTTCTGAAACAGAAAATTGGTGATGAAGTTTCGTCCTATAAACGCTTTCTTATGGCGAGAAGGAGAAGGTTTAAGATTAGATGTGTTCCGAATTGACTGTAAATCTTGTGATTAATCATTTTCCATTATTAAAATAGTTTAATTAATATCACTACAAATTCTGTAGAAATATTGGTCTTTGTTAAGTTATAAACAAATCCAAATGAGGAAGGAAAAAAATGAGTAGTTATAAATCATAATTTAAACAACGTCTTATCTCCTTATAGAAAATATATATTATAGAACTTACTCAATTGAAAATTTCATGTAAGGAACTCTAAAGGTGAAAGAATGAACTCTGATAATCCGTCATGGTAAGCAGGAATGGTAGTTAGGAATAATTGTTTTGTCATAATGAGAATTTTTCTTTGAGAATTTGTATATATTGAAACACAAATGGATTGATAATTGCTATAACAAAAACATAAATGTATATATATTTTCATTCAAAAAAATGATTTATCATGTCTCTAATGTAGAAAGATACCCAAACAAATAAAGAAATGAAAAAAAATGCAACAAGAACATAACTTTAATTAATAAAACCAGAACAAATTCCTTCATCTTAAAGATGATGAGGATTTACACAACAAGACCAACAAAAAAAAAAAAGGAAGCGCTTAAATTGCGCTTACAAGAAAATCCTAGCAAGTTACAACAACATCCAAGGGTATAAGACACCAATCATATGAAAACTAAATGAACTTGTCCAAACTTTGGAGTTTATTCGGATTTCAGAAATATCCATAAGGTGAATTCCACTAAGTAGTTGTATTTGGATAAGCAAAGGGAAATGATAAATCATCAGCTCCAAACCTAGATGATCCCTGATTAGCAGCAAACGAGGGTCCATTCTTATCTGATATGCTTTCGTTTGAAAGTATTAGACCCGCAAAACTTGAACCTGATGGCATGGGTGGATAATGAATGTTTTGAGGTAGTGATGGTGGTGGATGAGGTTCATAAGCTAAGGAGTCATTATTATGATTATTTGGCTCTGGGATGTTGAAATCTGGAAATGAATTGGCATTTAGAGGCAATCCTTTTTGTATTTGAATCTGAACTCTTTTGTCCATCTCTTCATAAGCAATTTTCAGCTGCTCGAGTTGTTCCATGCTAAGCTCTTCAATAGGAGCTTGCCACCAATACTGATTCTGATTGGCTCTCACCATCTTTGTAAATTCGCTTCTCCTTTTCTTCACGGCGCCCATGTGATCTTCCAGGGTCCTCAATTCTTCATTGAGGCTAATCTCGTTAGCCATACAACGTGCCTGGTTCACCACGTCGATTGAGCTCTGAGGACCAATAAAATGAGGCGCTTGGGTCCCATACTTCTCCAAGATCTTACTTACACTGGGGGAGCCAAAAGAGTACACCTTGCTCCCCGGAGAAAAGACCACAATAGCAAGCTCTGACCCTGTTAGGGTACAGAGTTCGCTCGCTTTTTTGAACAAACCTAGGCGACGTTTAGAAAACGTGACCTGCAGGTTGTTCTCATTGGTCATTTTGACCATTTCTACCCTTTGGCGACCCCGGCTCATTTTTGTAGTTGCCATTATTTGCTACAAAAAATATTTTACGAAACTATAGAAGAGGTTGATGGTATGCTTGACAAAAAAAGAAGAAAAAGACGGGATTTTATAGGGGTGAAGTATGAATTACGTGGTCAAAGTCAAAATTATAATCATAGAAGCATATCAAGTTCATTTAAAAACTATCCAATTTAATAACTTAGGAGGTGCGAATCTTTATAGTTAGATAATGTATTAACTTAATTACCTAGTTTCGAACTTTTTTTGATATTCCGACCTGTATTAGTCAAAACATGACATTTATGGAGCATGAACTTTTTGGAATAAAATGATTTAGAAAATTATGTGAAATAAATTAACCATGACATGAAATGCAACTTTTTTTTAAATAACTTAATAAACTTTTGGGCTTTTATTTTTTAATATTCTTTTTATTTTGGACCTAGTCATTCTTGCAGCCATTTTATTTTATCAATGTAGTATCCCACTTACTTAAATCTTATCTATGTAATTTTTGCTTTGATTATGTTATTGTTTTTGTTACTTTTAGGAGTTTAGATGAATTAATTTGACTTAATATTAGAGGTTGACTAATTGGTCATCAATATAAAAACTTATGCAACATAACTATTCGGCTATACCAGTTCGTTATAACTAATAAGAAAAAATACAATAAATTAGAAGAATGTGTCACATTTCAAAAAGATGATTTTTATCTTGCTTGTGAGAAGGAATTTTGAGTCTAGAAAGAGTAATTTCCCGATTAATATATAGAACAACAATACATTTTACTCATGTTTCTGTTCATATTTCATATTTAATGGATAGTTTTCAAACAACAAAGCAAAATAACCATGCAAAGCAAAAATAACCAAGCAACAAAAGAATAAACAACTACAATCAGCACAACATAATTGAGAAACTTGTACTGATCAAATTAATCATGTTCTGATTTATATGTAATTCAGTAGCTCGTACTCGAAGTTAAGAAATTTTGGCCTATATATATGGAAAAATAAGAAAATTAGGTCTATATATATTTGACAGTGAAACTAACTATTTTTCATTTATTTTGTCTACGAAATGGTATATGAACCTCGATGATTTTCTTATGCTGAAACACGATATGGAGTCACTTGGACATACTTAAGCTCAGTTTAATATGTTGTCAGAACACAATATGGAATTTTTTCAATCTTTTTTTTTTTTTGCAAAAAGTTACAAGATCAGATTGAGACTAATATGTAACCATTTTATCCTATCGGATGAGTTTATTAGAGTTAGTGGGTTTATCTTGTGCTATATTCATATGTTTGATTAATTAATCACAACTCATATATTGTTAGCTTTCCTTGCAATACCGGTTCTTGGGAAACATTATTATTTTTTGTATGTTTGGTTTACAACATAAACTAAAAATGTTTATTTCAACTACAAAAATACAAACCATCATTAGTTGTTAATATTTTGATAACTACAATGAACGTCTTCCATTATATAAGAAAATGGGTAAAATATCACTATGTGAATAAAAATATATTTGTGAGGTACGTATCATACTTTTCTAATTATTACATAGAGGTATTTCAAGATATATCATATCAAAAATAAATTGATAACAATATAATGGAGGATAGCGTTGATGTTCATTTGTGTTTTTTATAATAAACTAATGGAGTGTAAGTAAATTGTAATAGGAACAAACTCGATCTTTTGATGTGAGAGAGAGAGATTAAAATGATATAGTTTCTCTGTTAAAAAAAAAAAACTCACTTTATTATATTATTTTCAATTTCTCAATATACCATTATTCTACTATTTATCTCTCATAAAGACCTTTATTCTTTTTTTTTTCATTTTAGAAGTT